GTGTAGACTGTTTACAGCTTGGTTGAATGACAGATCAGGATGTCTATAAATCATTGGACAAATCATCCATGTCTCAGGTCCCGTGCATCAGACAATTCATCCTCTTTAAACTGACATTAAAATTCATTCACTTTACTAGTTTTGTATGCTGTCGCTGTGAAGATGAGCCAGACGGTCTTCATGAAGCTATAAATTATTACATGTTCAGACACATTTAAAAAATGCTTTTTCCATTGTTAGAGAAGTTTACATCTGTTTTGTAATACATTTCACACTGTTACAAAGAGACATTTTCTAAGTTTATTCAACTTCACTTTGACTAAATAGCATGTCAGTGAGTGAGTGAGCGATTTTAGGTTTATGCCACTTTTAGCAATATTCCAGCAATATTTTGGTGGGGGACATCGGACATTGGCTTCAAACATCTTCAAACATTGTACCATGTGGGGAATCGAACCCAGGTCTTTAGCGTGACAAGTGAACGCTTTTACCCACTACCCTACTGCCTCATAAACAGCATGAAGTTTGAATAGTGAGTAGCCTTAGGCTCCAGGGTAGGGCAGGACATGGTTAGCCCTTGTGCAACACCTGGTGTCATCCCTGATTTTCTGTGATCCTGAAATTCTGAAGTGCCTGGATAAATTGATTCTCTTTGCACATCGTTCAATTTCTGAAGACATGAATATAGGTATTGATAAATTCTTGATATCTCTGTTCAAGGTTCTTAAAGAAATAATCACTAGGATATTTCTGATTCTGAGACAGACTCCTTCAACTGGAATATATTGGTTTAGATATATTGTTTAAACAGAAATAGATTCAACCTGTGGACTTTAGAGTGAATGTTCAGGCCAAAAGGTGGTTTGGACCATCAATAAAAACTGGACACCCTGAAACTTCCTCTGGTTGAACAGACCCAGGGCAATTGGTAGTTGAAAATCTGTCAAACAAAACCAATACTCTGTGAGGCCTATGTTAAAAAATGTAGGTTAACTGTCAGAAACCAAGTGATATATTTCTGCCCCAAAACTTTTGCATAAAACCTTTTCAACAAATTTCCTCTGTCAAGTTTATTATGCATCTCTTGCTTTGTACTGGGAATAAAACCACAAGGGACCTCTATGTAATCCCACCTGTCTGCTTTAAATGCATGTCTGGCGTAGTAATACATAACTCACAAGGAGGTCGCAAGTCATGCTTGTCAAAGGTCAGGGTTTATCTTCAATCAAATGTAAGGAACTCCTAAACAACCAAATCCGTCCACCTTCCACTTTTTACAAATGGATTTGAATCGGCCTGATATTGCAACTTTTGACGTTGATAAATGGATTGAGTACAAGTTTCCTGAGGTATGCTGCTGTCATGTCAGATTGCAGAAATCAGATGTTTATGGCTGAGATGATATAGCTTATATACACTGGCAATATGTATCTTTATATGTCAATGATACACACACTTGTGTGGTGATACAGACATTTTCCTTCATATAGGGGAGTATACCATCGACTCAGAGTTGGAGAAGAAATGTGACAGCAGATTTTGTTAGCCTGTGTGGATTCCAGGACCTCCCATTGATAGTGTTGTTCTGTTTGCTAATCTTGCAAGCTGCTGAACAGTTTTGATGTGTTAACTCACAGTATGGAGACACAGAACATGAGAAAAGGCTTGAACAGCATGAACTGTGTGGGTTGGATTAAGTAGGATTATACAAGGAGCATCAATTGTATGATGTGTGTGGCTCACACTGGTAATACACAGAACCCAGAAGGACCTAGGATGTTGACAATATTGCATTTCTAGAACCATCATTCAACAAGACTACAGTTTCTCTTTCAAACAATAGTTGGCCAAGATCCTCTGTTCAGGAGATCAAAGCATGGATTGACCCTTAATTATTATGATTGGTATATGAGTATCATGTCTGTGCTGGTTGACTTTCCAAAGCTTGTAAATGTCCACAACCTGTGTCCCTGTGGCTTTCCACTTTGATAAAGTGACTCAACGTCATATACCTGAAAAACTCTTAAAATTGTTCCAAAATTGAACTCTCTCTTTCAAAAAGTTTACCTTTTTTGAAAGGCTATAAAAGATTCCATGTAATTGTGTTGTATATTTGTTATGAAATCTTCTTCCTTGTTGGGCAATGGGGTAGCCTGGTATGAATCCCTATATGGGTATGACGTGTGAAGCCCATTTCTGGTGTCCCCACCATGATATTTCTGGAATATTGCTAAAACTGACATAAAACTAAACTCACTCACTCACTTCCTCCCTGTCATCTAGTTCTCTCTCAAAACCAACATGGATGTATAAACAGGTCAGTAGTCAAGGTGTACATATTACATATCTCCCACCCAATTGACCTTCACCTTCAGCCAGACATTCCACTGCCGGCAGCATCCATCTAACTCTTGGAAACATTCATACACCATGTTGATAGCCCTGCCAGAAATCTGGTGAACCCTTTTTCGGAGAAGCGCTAATCCATCAGAGGAAGATCAGCACCGTACTGCTATTGCTGAAACTCCCAGTGTGATGTAAGACACAGTATGTGCATGTTACGAGGCTGTATCGACCAAGCCACTTGAGTGTTATCCCATGCTGGAGCACCACATTCACATGCTGCTCTAGCAGACCAAAGCAGGTGGCTAACTTCTGCATTGGCAGAGAAAGCTCTGGTCCGCAAGAAATGTTTGTAAAGCAATGCTTTACCTCACTGAAAGATTATTTTATCCATTGCAGGAAAGTTTATTTGGGATTTGGAAAATGCTTGTATACTTTCTTGACAGACTTCTGGGAATAACAGGAAGTGAAGCTCTGTTAACCAGCACATATACATTTACTGCACAGAAATTGGCACTGTCCCTAGAATGGTCTGGTTTGGTAATTAAACTGTCTGCAGGTCAGTAATATGTGGTCAGCAGACGTTCCAGAGTTACTCCCCCTTCCTTGATTGACACAAGCAGTATCCTATAACTATAAATAGACCAATCAGATGTCTAGCCAGTCAGAAAAGACTCTATCCAATTCTCTTGACAAATCTACAGTCTGCTCAAAACTGACCTGTTGCCTAATGGACAGGCATTAGATAATTTGATTTCCACATACTTTCTGAAGTTTTCATAGAGGTATGTTATAACTATATTGTCTGTAACTATTATCAGCTTTCATCTAATGATTTCAAGTCAAGTTAATCAAATCTAAACATTCCATACACTGATGAAGTGACTATGTTGGTGTTATTCACGTTCCATACATCATTATAACAGCTGTTCAACTATTATCCAACAGTTTAACATGCTTGGTTAGCGAATATGAACATGATTATACTTTCTTAAACGTGCGTCAGTTTACATAAAATTATCTTTTTTATCAAATGTTCTTAATCCACCTTTACATCATGCAACAGGTTCAATGTATCAATCCAAAGAATTTAACAATGTCATTTATTCATTGATCCATGCAGAACACACCATTTTACACCCCTCGATCATACATGACACTCCACATATTAACCTGAAATCAGCCATCTTGACACTGTCCACAAACATTAAAATATGCTTGAAACAGCTCTTTCACTACCTTGCATTCACATCATAAATCTCTCAACATGCGCCCTCACACCTGAACAGTGTTACCTGAGCTAACGAGGCAGGTAAACCTGTGTACCTGTGCAGGTGATGTAGGTGATGTGATTAGGTTACCTTTTAGCATGCAGCACACATGACCAGTCATATGTTCCCTGTGTAATACTAACATGTGATGAAGCACCTGCTTCAGATGTACTGGGTTATCGGGCAGCTATGCATATCGTGAAGAACAGGGGATTTATTTGTGATAAATGGAGTTATAAAAAGATTTAGTTGGTTGTATGAGGATCATGTTCTGCTTGAGGCTGAAACTACAATGCTGAGATGGCTCTTGGCAACATAAAATCAGCTAAGATGGAACAGATACGATTTAAGTCGATCTTATTCAGAAGGTGTTTTATGATGATAGAAATAATGAAACTTATTGCAGTCGGTTTGTTGTTGGTTTGTTGTCTAACACCGCACTCAGCAATATTCCAGCTATATGGCGGTTATTGAGAAGGGGTTCAGTGATGATGACGTGTACTTGTATTACACTAGCATCCAAACACTCTGTGCTTTCCCTACAGTAGACTTGCACAAATCTTTAAGGTAAAAATTAATAGTTTAAATGATAATTCTACAAAATAATAAATAACAGACTGGGGTAGACTTGCTTCTTCGAAGGGCTCAGCATTCAGTACAGCCTTGGAGCAGGGCTAGCACTAGAGGAACATATTACACCATATAATACTTGACATGAAAAAGAATTTGCAGAATAATTATTATTATCTTACAAAAATTTATCTTCTTTCTTGTTGGTCTTATATTTGAAGATGGCACTACCATATCAGAAATGTTAATATTCCATTACATATCATTTGTAGAGTATGATCTAGGGTAATAATGTATAGTTATGATAAAAAAGAACTGAGAAGAAAGCTAATTTTTTTCAAATTGAATTTGTGTTCAATTCATTTGCTGAGAAAGAGTTACAATTCATCTTACTGTACAGGCAATCTATAGTGGGTTTTATCATGTAGTTATCATGGTTGCATAACAGTTTTAACAAAATGTGAGTCAGTCTAGTTATTTCACTGTCCTTTGGTGACAGGTTTTTATATTTCAAAATGTATTTATTATTTATGTATAACATTTATAGTCACGATATGGCTGAAATACTGCTGAGGTGACTTTAAATTTAAGTCATCCACTCAATCATATCCTCCTGTCAACTTACCTTACTTCTTCTCATCTGTCATGGTGGCCTTGTGGTATAGTGTTCACTGGTCACAGCTAAGACCCAAGTTTCATTCTTCACTGAGATATGATGTGTGAGTCCAGTTATAATGACCCAATGGAATTTGAGATAACTGGATTTTTTGTGAAAGCTGCATCATGCCATTCTGACTCCATCACTTTGTCTTCCAGGTAGTAATACACTTGGCAACCAGCCTTTCCATCTCAACTGGGCTTGGATCTCACTGGAAAGTGATAAACTCTTCGTTAATGAGACAGGCAAGGAATTAGAAGTGACCCTGCGACGTCGAGGTTATCTGGGCGAGACTTCCTTCGTCAGTAAGTAAATGCATCCCCATTACTGATGTAATATGTAGTATGTAATATTCTTGTAATGCAGCTGAAGGATTGATGCATTACAGTACCATACATCTTGACCTTGGAGGATGAAGTAACATATCTGTAATATTGCTGACTACGGCTTAAATGCATTTAGATGAATTTACTAGCTGACCCTTCTGCACTTGTCTTCCAAAAAGATTTCAGGGCAGAAAAGGTCTCTGTTTATCCACCTTGAGGCCTAAATGAGAAACCGCCTCCGTGGTGCAGTGGTTAGAGCGTCCGCCCGGAGAGCGGAAGGTCGCGGGTTCGATCCCCGACCACGTCATACCAAAAGACGTTAAACTATGGTACTTGTTGGTCCCTGCCTGACGCTCGGCATTAATGGGTACAACAAGGACTGGTCGGCTCGGAGTCAGTATAATGTGTCTGAGGGGGTATTCATGCTTCACTGCGGCATGGTATCTCAGTGAGCTAGCACTATAAAACCAGCTTAAGTCTGGGCTAGTACAAGCAGCCGCACATACACATACACACGCATGCACGTCGTCATATGAGCGAAATATTCTCAAGCACGACATAAAACCCAATTTCACCTCACCTCACCTCACCTAAATGAGAATTAGGTGGTCACTGACTTGGCAAAATATACTGAGGGAACCAAATAAGGGAATACCACTTCATCGCAGTGTTCCTTTATTTATTCTCAGATTTCCTCACACAGCTATTCAAAGCTGGTGATGAAAACTGGAAATGTTAAATTAACACTTGAATTTTCCTGTGTTCCTTTATTTGTGTCTCCCAGTATATAATGTGTTGATGTTGTATATTGAACAAGAATGATTTTTTTATGGATGAACATCTTCTTGATTGCAACGGATGCGATGTTTTGATGTAGATGCTAACACCGTTATCAACAAAGTCATACTCAAAGAAGATGTTGTATATTGTTCTTCATGCCATTGACCACAGGTTTGTTGGCCCAGACAGTTAATCAAAGTCTGTATAGAGAAGGAATGTTATAAACTGTGGCATTAAAGATCATTCCCTCAGAAATCTATGAATAATGCAGGTATTGTCCTATGTTTAACACAATGCCCTATGTCTTTTTCAGCCATATCTGTCATCAATGGCACTGCTAAGGTTGGGGAAGACATCAATCCTCGGTATGCTGATCAGGTCCAGTTTAATCCTGGTGAGTACAGATTTATTACCTTAGGCCAGACCAATTTTATTTCTTGTTTTACGGATCCGCTGGTGGTATTTTTTCAAGAATAAGAAAACAAATAAAAGTCAATATTCCCCGCTAAAAAAATAAAATCCCAATGTTTTATTGGTCAGAAATGTAAATTTACAAAAAAAAGTTTGGGGTTTTTTTTAGATTGTGTTTTGCCCCATATACAGTTCATAAATTGCCAAAAGTAGAATACTTTTAGTATTTATTTATTTTTATTTTTATTTATTTTCTGTCCTGCCTTTAGGTTTTCTGAGTACAAACATCCGTAAAACAAGAACTAGAATTGGTCTGGCTTCATTTAGATTCTTCTGGCTCCAGGTCTTAAGTCAGAATAAAAATATGGATTAGTTGGTCACAATGGAAGTTTAGTGTGAGTACAAGAGGGCAGGGGTGGCCCAGATGTCGAAGGTTCATAGTGTGTTCGAAGTCTCACAGTCCCTGAGCCACATTATTTTCACTGCCTCCTGTCCTCCCGTCCTCCCTTCAACCCATCCCCATCTGTAACGAAGCAAGTCTAGATTTCCTACTGAATCTCCCATCTCACTGAGTCTCCTTTTCAAAGTTATATGCATTTAGAGACTAAGCTTTAGTCAAGTGCCATACCTTTGCTCGTGAGTGTCACCAAAGTTGTACATGTCTGATATCTGCTTCATGCTTTTCTCCCACTTTGTGAGCAGCTGTGGGGAAGCCTAGTAGTTAAGCATTTGCTCATCACACCAAAGACCTGGGTTTGATTCCCCTCATGGGTACATTGTGTGAAGCCCATTTCTGGTGATATTGCTGGAAAAGCAGCGTAACACCCAACTCACTCACTCACTCACTCACTCACTCACTCACTCACTCACTCACTCACTCACTCACTCACTCACTCACTCACTCACTCACTCACTCACTCACTCACTCACTCACTCACTCACTCTACCACTCTACCACTCTACCACTCTACCACTTTATATAATGTTGCTCATCTTCCAAGATGTTACATGTTTCACAGAGACTTTCAAGTTGGCGTGGGGATATATTTTTATCTACCGGTTTCAGTTTTTAGTTTATGATTACTTAAACAAAGATATATATGTATTTGAATGTAATTCTTCTCCACATCACTGCTCTAAAGACCTCGCTCCAAGATTGCCCCAGGTTAGAGCATCTGGTTTAACTAAGGTCTATCAATGGATAAAGTATTACAATGGTAGTTTTAAACAGATATATAGGAGTGAGAAGACATGTTTCTACACATTTTATCTCAAATCTAGATGTGTTTTCTTGATAATCTGATGCCTGATATATTCTATATACACTACTGTGTAAATAAACTGCATGCATCTGATGCTATCTGAGAGCAACTTTTTAAACAGTGTCCACCCAATGTTTGGAGTGTGTCTTTTGATAGTTTTTTGTTTAATTTGTTTGTCACAAATGACTAATATTTGTCAATATCTGTTATCAGAATAGTTTAATTGAGTTTACTCCCTCCTGAAGACAGCAATTAAATCAGTGTGTGATAGGATTCCGTTAGTCACCAGGGAGTATGGTCAATGTCAAACAGACAGTTCATGTAAACTTTGTCCTGCCTGGGTCGCCATGGTGATGTCTTGGAATCAGGAAATGGTAAACACAGATACTCCGTGACTCAATGTGGCAAGTTTGGCAATCTTTCATGGTGATTTGCCCTTTTTACTGTATTTTTTTATGGGGACTGGTATTTGAACTGGTTTGAAGGTTTGTGAGAAATACATTTATACCACCCATGAGATTTCTGTTCACAGGGATGAAAATGTTATAAACTGCAATCCACCCATACTTTGAAAGAACTTTAGAAGAGAAAATAACACCTTCTCCAAAGAAAGAATTAGTAGCTCATATTTTAGATATATTACCTTTATTACCACCCATGGGGGTTTCTGGTTTTTAAATATTCTTGATTCCTTCAGAATTGATTTTATATTTACAGTAATTTTATATTTACATGTCATAATTGTCAGATTCCTTTCAGTCTTCTTTAGGTTAGTAATGTCAGGGAAAGCCTGTAGTCATGTAAATCATTTGCTCAGCTCACTCTTCTGAAGTTCAGGGCAGCTACATAGTCCATTGGTTAAAGCATTTGCTGGTGTCCGCCATGATGTTGCTGAAGATCAGGGTTCAATTCCCTACATGTGTCCAATGTGTGAAGCATATTTCTGGTGTCCCCTGCCATAATATTGCCTACTGACTTACTCTTGTCAGTTAATTATTTTTGGGATGAATTGATTTCCTTCCACATCTAAGGCTTGTTGTAAAACATCTACATACTGGATTCACTGTTATAGAAACATGACTTTCTCATGTGTTTTCAAGTCTAGTCAAGTCACCAAGCACCTGTTGAATCAGATTCCTCATGTATTCAAGGTATATTTTGGGAATGGTTTGGAATGTCAGTCTCCTTGTGGTGATTTTTCTATTCCAGGGGTAATTAATCACCACTTGTACACCATGAAAAATCAACACATGAAGCATGTCATGGAACTCTTTAAACCCAGCATCAGAGACAGATAGCATCCACCTCAAACATTGTAAATCATGGTCACATAGCAGCATGTCCCTCCGTAGTCCCCCTTCTCTTAGATCTCTTACAATGGTTATCTCCCCAGTGTTCATCTGCCTAATTTAAAATCAATCCAACGGAGACAGACACATTAGTTTAGCCTCATTGCCCTCCATATCTCCACAGCTTGTCTTGTAGGAGCTGCAGTGCTGGGACATTGGGTGATTGTGTTACATTGTTACAGTTGGCTCTGCAGGTGCCCCTGTAGACTAAGGCTTAGTCTCTGAATATATATAATTTTGATAGTAACAAACAAGCCCATTTATATTGATAAGGAGCCCTAGGGAGACCAGAGATTCAGAACCTGAGGAAATCTAGACTTGCTTTATTTAGGGCTTTAGCACTGCAGAGAGAGCTTGGCAGTAGGGAAATTAATGTGGTTCAGGGACTGTGAGACAGACTAGTGCCCCTGTGATTCCTAACACTCTGATAACTCTCTTGCTGCAGGCTGTAGCTAAAATGTATGAGTCTGGTACCAGAAATAAACTCTTTGGTATGATTCTTATAAGACTTCTTGTTCTGATGTATGGACAATTTGTACTTCAGCATGTCAGACTGATCAATATTTTTGTAAAAGACTTGTGCTTCTGACTGTAGTTCCTGAAGTCTCAGACTGGCTGGGGGAGGGAGGGGGATGAGATGTGGGGGAGGGATGTGATGGTTGTATCTATACAGGTTTAATGGGGCAAGGAAAATCATATCTGAGCATAAGTGGGGTTATGTCAGAGTTGAATATTCATAAAAAATCTATCCTGATAGCCAGATTGCCAACTGAAAAAGTTACGTGTTCAGATAGAAAGTTGCCACTCCATATTTCATGAAGTGTATGTACTTACACTTTTCAAATGAAAATAAACTTACAGTCTGTTAAACATTATAATAGCAAACACCATGATGATGATGATGATGATGATGATGATGATGATGATGATGATGAAAAGTGATTATTCCATAATATGGTTGCTCAAAAACACTGACATTTAACAAATCCTTTCAGATGTAACAGTACAATATATATTTTTCATGAATAAGGCTAACTCTCCTTTAGAATGAGGGTGAGGCTGGGTGGGTTGTAATCCTGTGTAAGACTATGGAGGATGGGGACGTCCCTGTGGTGTCTGAACTCAGTCAGCTTGCACAGTGGGAGGGCACCTAAATAGAAAAACGGAGCTGGCTCTTGAAAAAACACACATTGTGAGAGCATTAAGGGGAGTAAAATAAACTTACAACCAATTACACAACAGCTTGCAGGAAAATGTAATACCCTCCGGCTTGAGCATTGTGAAAACAGTCAGGACGTGTAAAATGATTGTAAAGTAAAGATAGTGCCTTCTAGCGAAGTGGAGGCTTTCCGTGTGTGTTGTAATTAAGCTTGCGAAAATGCCACACAGCCCAAATTAATGTAGAAGTTTGTGAGGTTTCACGTGTAAGTGGTGACAGTTCATTTGGTTGTGTAAACACGTGTCGAGCAAAGATACATAGGTTGGCAACTCATTATTTGAGAGTGGAATTAGTGCCTTTTATGATATATAATTAGTTTCTCTTTTTCATTGTAAATAGTATCAGATGCATATGTTGCAATTCTCCCCAAATGGAGTTGAAGTAAATAAAGACTGCCATTTCTTTGGAAGAAAGTATTTTGTGAATTTAGATATTTGTTGATAAATTCACTGCAGAATGAGTATCTATCAAAAGATATTTTCTGGCACCCCTATTGTCATTATGGGCAGACATGAATCGGATATTTGCCATCCTGCTGATAAGCTGCTTAGAAAAAAAGGCAGGTAACTCTAACCACACATCATTGCCATGGGAATGTACATCTAATACGTGTAACCTTTAGTTTATTTTCGAAGGGTCAATTTTTTTTTATTGCAAACATTTTTTAGATGCTTGATTGGCATTTTAGAAGATGCTATTTGATGAACAAAGAGATTTTTTCATAACCCAGAAAAAATCTCTATGTTAAACACTTTTTACTAGCAAAAAAAATGGAACAATACATGTCTCTCTGTTTTTGACTGAAATTTAACTAATGTAACGCCAAAGTGATAAAATCTCTGTTGTGAGTTCAAACTTTAAATAGAATTGTCTGCTTAGAAATGTTTTGTTAACTAATTCCTTATTGGCTAGTGCATAGTCGCAGAACTGGAAAGATTTTAAGATTATATTTGTCAAATTGTTTTTTGATATACAAGAAAAGATCGCCTTGATATTCCAGATACTGAAATAATCTATTTTTGACTTATTTCAGAATTTGTACATGGTCTTTTTGGGGGGTGTCTGTTAGATCTCAGAGTCTCTTTACTGTAGCATCCGCAATGCGTTTGTAACTTTACGACCTATCGCAACTCTACACAATATCATTGGTTAATGAATGACATAATGCTATGAACGCTTTATGGATAGAGTCCCAGGACTACTATCCATTACAGAGACTCAAATCCTGATCTTAGTTTCAGTGTACATGGTAAACCTTTTACCTCAACTTTAAATTCTTAATGACAGTTTGGATTTGTTACCAACTCGTCTACTTGATAATTGATGGCTACAGTATATTCACAGAGCCTTGTTTACGAGGATTTTATAAGTGTTTTAAGTGTAATGGATGTTTCAGTCAGTGTGTTCTCTGACTTAATGAGGGAAATTTAAATTAATGAGATACTTACATTCTCCTAAAGACTAAACCTTAACCAAAGAATCATGCAGCTTATAAGAGAAGATTTGAGTATATCCCTTGATTGACAATTTGATACCATGTAATATCCAAGTCTGTAAAATGAGCATTCTGTGAAGAAAGACAGTGTTGATAAAGGATTTAACACTTTCAGGGTTGGACGGGTAGCCTTGTGGTTAAAGTGTTTGCTCATCATGCCGAAGGCCTGGGTTCGATTCCCAACATGGGTACAATGTGTGAAGCCCATTTCTGGTGTCCCCTGCCTTGATATTGCTGGAATATTGCTAAAAGTGGCATAAAACTAAACTCATTCACTCACTCACTCACTCTATCAAACATGGTGACTCTATCAAACATGGTAACAATAGCTGTGTTGCTTTATCACAAATGTCACATTTTAGGAGTAAAGTTTTGAATGAACTGCTCTATTTATGTAGTGCCAAGTGAATAGCAGTGAAAATTGTTAACGTTTTGGCACGCATTTTTGCAGTTACTAGCTGACCTGTAAATCTTTAGTTGTACCCTGAGTCTTTGGGGTGAGAAGCAGGTGTCAGGGCTATAAAATCAGCTTTGCAGAGTAGTCCCCTTTTGTCATGACAGAATCCAGTTTAGTTTAGTTCCTATTTTGTAGTTTGTCAGCACCATCCCAAATCTTGTGGGCTTCACAAAAATGAGTGACTGAGTTTAGTTGTACGCCACACTCAGCAATATTCCAGCTATATGGCGGCGGTCTGTAAATAGTCGAGTCTGGAACAGACAATCCAGTGATCAACAGCATGAGCATCAACTTCACCCAATGGTAAAGGCCAATGAACTGCACCAATAACTGAAATATTGTCAAACATTGCATGAAACCAAACTCACTCACTGTGTGTTTACAAATATTTATTTATTGTATTTCAGGCCAAACAGAGAAAGTATGGAGACTGAGGATCTTGGATGATGAGAAATATGAAAAGATCGAGACCTTTAACCTGGAGCTGTCCAAGCCTGTCATGGGTGTCCTTGAGTATCCCAATATTGCCAAGGTCACCATCACAGACAAGGAGGATGGTGAGTATCATCATGTCTGATGCTGGTACATTCATCTCAGACCCAGGGCCCCATTTCACAAAGTACCGTAGCATCACGACTGTCATAAGTCTATGTTACAGTATAGGAGTCATAGTGCTACTATAGCTTTGTGAAATGGGGCCCAGGCCCCACTTGCACAAAGTGATCTCAGCACTACTGTGGTCATAGCTCTTACATTAAGAACATTTTGTGCATATGGGCACAGGACATATATACTGAACTAAACAATTAAGGGAACAGCACTAGCCGACCCTTCTGCACTTGTCTTCCAAAAAAGATTTCAGGGCAGAAAAGGTCTCTGTTTAGCCACCTTGAGGCCTAAATGAGACTTAGGTGGTCACTGACTTGGCAAAATATACTGAGGGAACCAAATGAGGGAATACCACTTCATCGCAGTGTTCTTAGTGTATTTATTCTCAGATTTCCTCCCATAGGGCTATTTAAAGCTGGTGATGAAAACTGGAAAATGTTAAAGGAACGCTTGAATTTTCCTGTGTTCCTTTATTTGTTTCTTTCAGTATATTTCATACAATACACTAATGCTAGTCGTAAGAGGCAACTAACGGGATTGGGTGGTCAGGCTCGCTGACTTGGTTGACACATGTCATCGGTACCCAATTGTACAGATCGATGCTCATGCTGTTGATTACTGGATTGTCTGGTCCAGACTCAATTATTTACAAACCGCTGCCATGTAGCTGGAATATTGCTGAGTGCCGCGTAAAGCGACACTCACTCACTCACTCACTCACTCACTCACTCACTCACTCATGGAATTATTTATATTTAACGCTTAAACATAGCATGATTTCAGGACTCCTTCTTAGTCTGGCATCAGTCCAGTACTGAAGTATACCATGTCAGCATGGCAACATCTTCTCTATAACTGGTGTTGCACTGAACATTGGAAAGACTTGGTTTTGGTCAAATGTATGCTGAACATTGGAAAGACTTGGTTTTGGTCAAATGTATGCTGAACATTGGAAAGCCTTGGTTTTGGTCAAATGCATGTATTTGTGACATAGAGATTATTCAAATGTCAGTTATCTACTTTTAGCAGAGATTATGGAGGCTATTTTGTTACCTTTTACCAGCTGAAGCCCTTATTTTAGGATTTCGAACGTTAAAGCATTTATTCTGATATAAAAATCTAACTAATCTTTTTCCAGAATCTACTGTATCCATCCCAGAGAAGGAATACCATGTGTCAGAAGACATTGGGGAGATCCTGATCCCTGTGAGGAGAGAGGGAGATCTGTCAGATGAGCTCATGGTCATATGCTCAACTGTTCAAGGTCAGCAGGGGGAGGGAACTCTTGTAACTGTCATGTAATGATACAGGCATCATGAGGCATATCAACACAATATAGACACAACAATAAATTCATCAAACCACCATTTTATTTCAGTTTTGGTTGAAGTTGGTTTGTTACCTTGAAAGTAATCTTTTCAACTTAATCTTGTGTTTTTGTGTGTATGGTATTCACATTCAATATAAATACCAATGAAGATCTGGGTTCGGATTGATCTTCAGCAACCCTTGTTTTTCGTAGAAATATAATTTTGAAGACATTCTTCATGGCAGATAATATACTAGTAGTTTTACTGTTCTTCGTCAACAGGCTTTTATTTTCTAATTATATTTATCTATGATATAATTATTGATTGTTCTCGTCACGATATGGCTGAAATATTGCCGATGTGATGATAAATATTTACTCACTCACTCATAGCAGATAACCTGTAATCATTTGCAAAAGCTATGGAAACATTCCAGGTTATTACACACCTGCAAGTAAGTTCACAATCCGCTGCTATATTCACATGACAGCTCAGCTCTTTAGTCTCTAACTTACCAAACTCCATCCATCGTTCCCAGGTTCGGCAACAGGGACCACCCCCCCAGCACCGTAACATCCTTCTCTGACTACATCACCCGCAGCCAAGACCACCGCAGCATCGTCAGGTTCGACAAGGATGAGAAGGAGAAGTACTGCCACGTCATGATCATCGACGACTCCCTGTACGAGGCGGAGGAAAACTTCACGGTCATCCTCACCGAACCCATGGGCGGCAAGATCGGAGACAACAAGACCACTGTTCTCATTGAACCTGATAAAAATGATGGTCAGTGTCTAAGCATGCATGTCTTTTAGGATTTTGTATTTGGGGTAGTTTGGTGGGTGTTTTTTTCTGAATGAAGGATATATTCATTATTTCAATTTCCTGATGTCAGATATTCATTTAGTTCAGTTCTTCTTTGGACATTTGTCAGCAAGAATAGGGTACACATATTCTTTATCCTATTCCAAAATGTTACAAATATGGAATATAATTCAACTTCTTTTAGAATAGGACCGCCTCCGTGGTGTAGTGGTTAGAGCGTCCGCCCGGAGAGCGGAAGGTCGTGGGTTCGATCCCCGACCGCGTCATACCAAAAGACGTTAAAATATGGTACTTGTTGGTCCCTGCCTGGCGCTCGGCATTAATTGGTACAACAAGGATTGGTCGCTATAAGTCAGTATAATGTGTCTGAGTGGGGTATTCATGCTTCACTGCGGCATGGTATCTCAGTGGGCTAGCACTATAAAACCAGCTTAAGTCTGGGCTAGTACAAAGCAGCCGCACATACACATACACACACATGCACATCGTCATATGAGCGAAATATTCTCAAGCAAGACGTTAAACCCAATTTCACCTCACCTCTTTTAGAATAGCCTTTCTTCTTCTGTGTACTTAGACATATGGATCTAGTATTTAGATATCAATATATAGGTATACAAATGCACTTCAAATTGGTAAGTATTAGAGGGAGGTAACATTAGGACCAAAATTAGATTAAAAATTTCAGTGACCCTTGATTGCTAAACAAAAAAAAGGTGTTTAATCACAAGATATAAAACAGTTTGTAGTGTTAACATAGTACATGCTGATTGTCACAGGTTCTGAATTTCCTATCTGGCTGGGGTCCTTTTCAATTAAGTGAGTCATTGAGTTTAGTTTTATGCCACACTCAGCAATATTCCAGCTATATGATGGCGGTCTGTAAATAATCGAGTCTGGACCAGACATTCCAATGATCAACAGCATGAGCATCGATTTGCACAATTGGGAACCGATGACATGTCAACCAAGTCAGCGAGCCTGACCACCCATTCCCGTTAGTCGCCTCTTATGACAAGCATGGGTTGCTGAAGAGCAATATTCTAACCTGGACCTTCACGGGTTCCTTTTCAATTAAAATGGGTTTGTTTGTTACTATCAAAATTATTTATATATTTAGAGACTGAGCGTTAATCTACGGATTTCTTCAGGTTCTGAATCTCCCATCTCACTGGGTCTCCATTTAAATTTATATTTAAATGTTTGTTTCTATCAAACATTTATAGACAACAGAGACCAAACATTAGTCAAGACCAGTGTGAGGCACTTGATGTGACAGCAATAGTCTAGGTTGATTTCTATACACTGTTTCACTATCAGCTTGTGATGGTATCATCTGTCCCCAACACAAATGAACCCAACCCAACTGATACCATGAAGATCTAGTCTTGTCTACACTGCCTTGAACTGAAAACATCATAAGATCAGAGTCTTGCATCTGAAACAACTCCCATTGACCTCACGGGTCAAATGTTACCTTGAGGTCATTACCAATCTGCATTTAAATCTATCCATTGGAATTTCCATCTCTTTTTGAACTGTGGTAAATTCTTACTATGTGAACGAAGGAAAGTTCTTTGTCCTAAATGAACCCTTGGCCAATGGCATTCTTTATTCCAGTTACTGTCAGAGCAGATGTTGAAGTTGCTCACAGTAAAGACAGGTCATTGATAAGTGAAACTGCACATTTTCACTAACTGCTGTCCATGTGTACATCAGGGGTGTAACTTGTTTCTGGAAGGGATGATAATGTCCTTGATGTTAGACTTAAATGTTCCCCATGGGGGTCAGGGGTGATGATGGAACCAGCTCCTGTCTGTGTCTTCATCGGAGGCATTACATGTTTCTGGAGGTTGAGCATAATGGACTTTATGTCAGACTTGAAGGTTCTCCAGGCAGGGGGCAGGGATGATGACAGTACCAGCTGTAGTGGGTGCTGTGTGGACATCAGTGGAGGGGGGTGATTTCCTAAGGATAGAACTGATTACACAGCTACCGGTAGGTTGTTAGTGTCTCAGGCTGACCCATAATTGTAGCATACAAAATCCCAAATTTATAATTTTGACTGTTCTCAATTTCTTCAGTTTTTCAGCCCATATATTAAAAGATTAATATACTATTGAACAAAATATCTCACAGCATTTTCCATTCAGAGACAAAAGATTAGTCTACTCAAGAACTGACAAAATATGTTTTGTGTTAATGAGTTCTGTACCACTGTTAAATCGTTTTACATTTACACATCCATTAATATGTGAATACATACTGAGTCATTTTTTTTAAATATCTAGATTAACAAAAATAGCTCCATGGACTTATTTTTTCAATCATTAGGCCAGACCAATTTTATTTCTTGTTTTATGGGTCCATCGGTCATATTTTTTCAAGAATAAGAAAAAATATAAATAATAATTTTCCCTGCTCAGAAAATAAAATTCTAATGTTTTTATTGGCCAAAAATGTAAACTTACACTAAAATGTTTTTTTAGAATTTTGTTAGCCTCATATACACTTCATAATTTGCCAAAAGTAAAATACTTTTAGTATTTAAAGGAATATTACTTTGACTTTGACTTGACTTGAGGACAAAAATCCATAAAACAAGGAATAAAATTGGTCTGGCCTTAACTCCAAAGGATATATGCCAGCAATAAAAAATTAGTGACATCACTCAGTGCAGTGTAAGGGGGACTTACTGTATCAGGTCAGACTCAGTAAGTTGGTTGATGACATGTCAAGGTATCACAATTGTGTGAATTGTTGCTCATGACTCACCCACTGGAAATGGCTGGTCCAGACTCTCTTATTGTAGGCTGCCATTGTACAGCTTCAATGTTGCTGATGTCACGGTTAAGTAACTAACACACAGAACACAGCAGTAAGGTACAATATGTGTGTTCCAGAACCTGCCTTCTACTTTGGAGAGTCAGAATACTCGGTGGATGAGAGTGACGGCTTTGTGGAGATCAAGGTCTGGAGGACAGGAACTGACCTCAGCAAGCCTTCAAGTGTCACAGTGAGGTCACGCAGAACTGACCCACCCTCGGCAAAATGTAAGTAAAGTGGATGATCTTTTCAAAGATGAAAATTGTATTCATGGAGGAGTCAGGAGACTCAGATTATTTGTTACTCTGCTAACTGGGTCTTCGAGTTGTGGAGTGAGGTCACAGGTAACCTTTGAGCGACCTATGACCAATCCGCGAGACGGCTAACAAATTTAAAATGTAAGCTACTATTTAAGACTTATCATGGATGTTCTTTTCAAAGATGAATGAAAATTGTATAAAACACAGATATGCAGCATATGGAATGCTATCATTAGCTAATATTTCAGCAAGCTGACATGGAATACTGACAAAACGCTATTACTGTTTTACTCACTGCTGTGCGTGCCTCACTAGGAACAATCAAGATGTGAATCATTCGGTACAAAACCTTTTTGGAGGTAAAAGTTGATCCTGCACCATGGCTGTGGTCAATTGAAAAGTTATTTGAGGAATTAGTCCATTAGTTGGTTTTGTTAGACTCAAGATAGCAGTGTAACAGGGTGATGCACCATGGAGCCTAAGTTTACTTAGACTGGCATGGCTGTGGAATGAGTTTTGAGGGAATTAGTACCGACTCAAGATGTGGCAGGGTGATCCTACACCATGGCTGTGGAATGAGTTTTGAGGGAATTAGTACCGACTCAAGATGTGGCAGGGTGATCCTGCACCATGGCTGTGGAATGAGTTTTGAGGGAATTAGTACCGACTCAAGATGTGGCAGGGTGATCCTGCACCATGGCTGTGGAATGAGTTTTGAGGGAATTAGTACCGACTCAAGATGTGGCAGGGTGATCCTGCACCATGGCATATGGAATGAGTTTTGAGGGAATTAGTACCGACTCAAGATGTGGCAGGGTGATCCTGCACCATGGCTGTGGAATGAGTTTTGAGGGAATTAGTACCGACTCAAGATGTGGCAGGGTGATCCTGCACCATGGCTGTGAATATCTCTACTGAATTTTATCAAAGCCAATCTAGATGACCATGATAGGCATTAAGCATTATTCCACATGAAATGTAAGATAGAAAAAGTAAATATTAAAAGTTTTATTCATATGAAACAAAAAGAGTTGGGAAGTGTGAACTTGTTGTAGATATTTGTAATGTCTGTGAAATATTCATGATCCATAACTTGTTTTGTTCAGTATATTTGTATATAGCAAGGTTTACTATATGTTGTGTTAAGGTTTTGAGTAGTCTAGGTTTAAGTGTATAATATCTAGAACATGTAGAAAAGTCCAGGCACTTTTCTGCATGTCTGATGGACATAATTCATCCTTTATTGCTCTAACACAGTTTGTAACCCTGTGGTGACCCTGGGGTTGATTTGGTCACTACCTACCCATGCTTGTCATTAGTCGACTGAAGTATAGATTGAGAGTTTGTTCTACTGCCTGAATGTCATCATGTCCCAACAGCAGGGATGTTTGCTCATGCCATCAACCACCAGTTTTCATTCAACTTGATTATCTACAGTCTGCTGTGATATATGGCCAACATTCCCTCTTTCATGTAGGTCTATTCCTCACCTATGTAGATCTAATGGAGTAAGGGGCGGTGGGGTAGCCTTGTGGTTCAAGCGTTGGCTCATATCGCCGAAGACTCAGGTTCGATTCCCCACATGGGTACAATGTGTGAAGCCCATTTCTGGTGTCCCCCTGCCATGATATTGCTGGAATATTGCTAAAAGCAGAGTAAAACTAAACTCACTCACTCACTCTAATAGAGTTATCCTTGTACATGATAATGTAATGGTCAACAGGGGGATTGTTAAATGTTTACCAGAGTGAGACAAATATGAATATTAATGACTTCTGCCTGTTACTACTGCAACAGGACTCAACAGGTAAGTGTAGAAACAATCGCACCAAGCATTTGGATGTTCTTGACTGTCCCCATCTTTAACTACACTATGCAGTATTTGACATGAAGCTCTTTCACACTCTGCTTAACACCATGCACCCTCTGGTTGTGATAGGTCCCAAGTACTCTATGCTTTATAATAGGAGCTGTCTTGTCGATTGTGGGATCGGGTGGTCAGACTCGCTGACTTGGTTGACACATGTCATCATATCCCAATTGCATAGATGCTCATGCTGTTGATCACTGGATTGTCTGGTCCAGACTGCATTATTTACAGACCGCCGCCATATAGGTGGAATATTGCTGAGTGTGGCGTAAAACCAAACTCTCTCACTCACTGACTTTGTGGATTGGATGGTCACAATGAGAACCGGCTGATTGGTTCAAAGCTCCAGATGAGCAAAATACACCATTAACTAGTTTTGAGTTGCTTGCTTGCATACAAATATACCCCTGAAAAATGTTGAAACCACAAACGCTTTGAAGAAGTAAAGTAAAGACTAAAGTATTTGATTAGATTTTGCGGCTATATTGCTTTACGTATATTTATTTGCTGATCAAATGCAAGTATCACATCTACATGAATCTTCAGCAAAGAATAAAGCACAAATTGTTTCCTGATACAGCATTGAAAGCAAGATTGTTTTAACACTGCTTTAATGGTGCATGAAAGTCACATGGATTCGACCTTAAAATATTGCTGGAATATTGCTGAAAATGGCATTAAACCCTACTTACTCACTCACTCATTCTTTCAACAACAAGCCTTTTTCCATGGAACCAATGTTAAACAACATTTTCACCTCACCACCTTTCTTTCATGTTTCTACTGCACAGATTTGAAGAATGGTTTATCTTGACACAGTTCATCTGGTCTAACTTAACCCATCGTGAAGGTTTTAAACAAGCAAATCAAAATCCTACTGCACTCACTTTCACTTTAAAAACATGGTATCAAGGACTTGTAACCTGTTTTCTTGCTTAAACAGTCAAAGGTTTCAAATAATCTCAAAGCGTGACAAACTGTCAATCAACTGTCCATCCAGTGTGGTAGCATAGTGGTTAAAGCATTTGCTCATCAAACCGAAGACCCGGGTTTGATTCCCCACAGGGGTACAAGGTGTGAAGTCTATTTCTGGTGTTCCCTGCCGTGATATTGCTGAAATATTGCCAAAAGCAATGTAAAACTCTTTCACTTACTTTGACCTTTCAATCATATTTTCTTCTCAGAAATGTCTGAAATGATGAAAATGAATCTTAAAAAGGGGTAACAATTTTAAACCTCAGATCAACAATGTAGGTATTGCTTAGAATCTGAAAAAATGTAAATATTAATGCATACAGCATCCAACTTGCCACTGTTTTGTAAATATTTTATTATACAGCTGAATATAACAGGTGAGCTACAGTACCTTGCTCCTAGTTTACATGGATCATTGCAGTAAGACACCTTTATCTAAGTCGTCTTGTCCTATACTAAATCTAAACTAAGGTTCATCATACAAACTGTGGCAGTGCTAAAGCCTAAATAAAGCAAGGATTTCCTCAGGTTCAGGCTCTAGTCTCCCTGGTATAAATGGGCTTGTTTGCTATCAAAATTATATATATTCAGAGACTAAGCTCAATCTACCCACATGGGCACAATGTCACACCGAAGTGTTCAGTTACCCACATGGGTACAATGTGTGAAGCCCATTCCTGGTGTCCCCGCCGTGGTATTGCTGGAATATTGGTAAAATCGGCGTAAAACCATACTCACTCACTCACTCATTATACAAAGCAGCCTTGGAGGCAAAAGATTAATGGAAACAAACGATGATCCACGTTCCGTCTTCATCTTCAGCGTGACGAGCAAATGCTTTAACCACTAGTAAACCCTACTGCCCCACTTTGTATGATTTATTGCATTGAACATATACATTGCAATGCCATTGAGAAGAACAAGACCATTCTACAGCACTGATTCATGTGATGACTGACTGACTGAGTTTGGTTTTTACACCGCTTTTAGCAATATTCCAGCAACATCACGGCGGGGGACACCAGAAATGGGCTTCACACATTGTACCCATGTTGGGATTCGAGCCAACGCTTTAACCACTAGGCTACCCAACCGTCCGATTCATGTGATGAGCATCACTGATACAGAACATACTGTTGATGTTTTACACAGTCATTGAAACCTGGCGTGAGATCAGTCTTATCATATTCTTAACCTTAGAATATAACTCTTCAGACAGCATTGAGGACTGTTATTACACACCCAAAGATGCTGTGAACTTAACATGCACTTGTGCCATCTGTATTCCTATGACTTCACCATGGTAAATGCCAACTTGGAATCGGTCACATGTTTGAAGGGGGCCGTTCCGTCTGACACTTGCCTGGAGGTGTTGACTTATGCCAAAAACTGTCAGAACATACACAAGGAAAATATCATCAATTGTAATATAGGGCTTGGTTTTCATGCCATATCATTTATACCGGGGGTTTGATATTTTATCCTAATGGCTGGTGTCCTGGTTCAGGGATGAATTGAATTTCAGGAAAATGTCATTACGGCCAACAGTCTCATGCTCAGATATTTTTGCCAGCTTTCTAAATCTGGTTCCTTGGCAAAGGTTACTGAAGATAATGGTTTGTATGTGGGAGTGATTGTTTGAAGAGAGACAGGTGAAGTATGTTTTAAAATGTAGGAACTCCATAACCCTGATGATTCAGTGCCTCAGGATGCAATAGATACAACGGGCATGTTTTCATCATTTTCTCTTTAGGGCACTGTAGGCCGTGAAAAGTTGTGTCCCTTGTTTTCAGAGTTTGAATCCCACATTGAATTTGTGATGTGTCAGTATAAAACCATTTAACTCAATTACTCTATATTAAATGAAATCAAAATCTTACACTTTTGTAATAACTGGCTTGGATAATGTTGAATCAATATGAAGATATCTCCATTGCCACAATAACAATGACCAAAGTAAAAGGAGTCCCAAGAACGAAGAAAACTAATTAATAATTCTTTGTTATTTTCACAGCTGGACTGGACTACATAGCGGTCAACAAGAACCTCGACTTCGCCCCTGGTGTGACAATGCAGACAGTGCGTATCACTGTTCTGGATGACCTTGGCAAGCCAAGGTTAGAGGGCACAGAGACCTTCCAGGTGGTCCTTCGGATGCCAATGGCAGCCATGTTGGGAGAACCAAGCAATTCAATTATAATGATCAATGACTCCTACTCTGATGGTGAGTTTAATATAGAATATGAACATTTTCTTCACACTATAGATTTGGGCCCACACTGGTAACAGAGTTATGTCCCTTTGACCCCCACACATATATCAGTCTGGGTTCTAGTCCCAGTTTGCTGATTTTGTATTTTGTCACCACCAAACCCATGCAAAGTGTTAACCATGTAATACATGCGTCACTTCAGGCTTTACGTCCACATTAAGGTGATATTTGTGATACAACTGGAATACTGTTCAATGCGGCATCAAACCCAAGCCATTCACTCACTCACTCACTTAATAGAGCATGTCTTGTAGATTGATGTTCAGTATGTCATTGATGTATGTAGTCAAGAAATTACTATAATGCTTATTATGTTGAAGAGCTGGGATGGAGATATTGGCAGCCCATTGATATAATTATATGGCGCTGAACTCCACACCACACAGGGCATGCTCTAAGCGCATACAAAAAAAAGGGATGAACAATTGTCAGTGATTATTAACAGATGGGTCTTGATATGGAGCTGCATTTCACTTTGCAGAGTTGTCTCCCTTAGTTGTGCCAGTATCTTAAGATAAGTGATTACAAAACTTAGTTTGCCTGCACCTGCCCATGCTGTAACATTTCAAAAAGACCTACAAGCTGTATCACTTTTTACTTTCTACCAGCTTGAAGTTAACAAGTTGAGCGTGTAACAGTTATACATTTCCAAATGATGTTCATGCAAGCTTAAGGGGCAGTGGGGGTAGCCTAGTGGTTAAAACATTCATTCCTCACACCTAAGATTGGGGTTTGATTCTCCACATGGGTACAATATGTGAAGGCCATTTCTAGTGTCCCCGTCCATGATATTTTTGGAATATTGCTAAAATTGTCGTGAAACTAAACTCACTCACTCACTCACTCACTCATTCAAACTTGTGCACATTTTCATGTGGATTGTGATTTAAGATTATTGTAGGGAATCCTTGTGAGTCATTACATGAAGCTGATGCTCATGTACTGAAGAAAACAATTTCGGTGTGACCATCTGCTTAATTCACGATTTACGTGTTGTTTTTTAAAAACTGTTTGTTTTCTCAGTTGTCATCATGCAGGTGCATCGTGGGAGTGCAAAATATCCATTTCTGAAATTTGCGTTACTATAACAGCACAGCTGCTGGCATCTTTCATCCAGTGAGTCAAGTGGATGTTTGATACTGAAACATAAACCATGTCATGAGTCATTTGATTTCATGTGAATCTGTTTTTAGAGCAATTAGAGTAGCAATTTTGGCAAATTACAGAAATTAATTTTTTGAGGGAAGTTGAATTACATCCTGGTATAGTTAAGTAATAGATACGTCCATGAAAAAGGACACATGGTTGTAACTGCTTACATAACTGTTATTGAGACCACTCCCATTGTTAAAACACTCAGCATTTGATTCTATGTAACTAAATTGTCACACAGCTAACATATGGCTATACTGGTAGTCCTTGCACTCTCTCATTTCCGAGCCACCTCGGGGCGGTGGGGTAGCCTAGTGGTTAAAGCGTTGGCTTGTCACGCCAAAGGCCTGGGTTCGATTCCCCACATGGGTACAATGTGTGAAGCCCATTTCTGGTGTTCCCCGCCGTGATATTGCTGGAATATTGCTAAAGCAGCATAAACCCATACTCACTCACTCACTCACTCTTGCCACCTCAATGTCTTCCTAGTCCCAGCTACTGGATCGGATGGACAGGTTTGGTGACTTGGTTCAGTGAATGTCATTGTATCTCAAATAATCTAGATTATGCTCATGATATATAAAAGAACAAACGAACAAGCAAATTTATAGATGGCTCACTTTTGGTTGCTCACCTGGCTAGCAGCAGCAGTGGGTTTTTTCCTGAATGTTGTTTTTTGATGGTGCCCATGTAAAAAACAATTTTAGAAAAATGATTGTTTCTATCCGTACACTTTTCTCTGGTAAATTTGCTTTGTGCAAGTGGGCCCACACCTGATTGTTGTGAAAAGCTAGTCTTAGAGCAGATGTTCCTTATTTGGGATTCAGATTTGTACAAAACCTCGACATATGATATTAAGTAGAGCCACCAACCAACTTTCTTCACATGAATGCAATGTGTGAAATATTAATAAAAGCAAAGATGTAAATACATATATACGTCTTTGAGGAAAACAACATTAAATCTCTTTCCTGATATCCTTTCCAGTCTTTTACTGTAAAATGTAGAAGTAGTACTACTGAATATATATTACAAACCACCTGTTTTCTTCCAGTTCCCGGGGCGGTGGGGTAGCCTTATGGTTAAAGTGTTCGTTCATCACGCCAAAGACCTGGGTTTGATTCCCCACATGGGTACAATGTGTGAAGCCCCTTTCTGGTGTCCCCCGCCATGATATTTCTGGAATATTGCTAAAAGCGGCATAAAACTAAACTCACTCGCTCACTCTTCCAGTTCCCTCCATGCAGTTCAAGGACCTCAAGTATGAAGGTTTTGAGAATGATGGCAGCATCAAAGCATTCGTGGTGAGATCTGGAGATGCAAGTCACGTGTCAACCGTTCGCTGCTACACGCGGCAAGACACTGCAAAGGTCATGGAGGACTATGTTGAGAGGCCTGACACCAATGCTTCTGTGATTACATTCATGCCAGGTAAGACTTGCTATGCCGTACCTGTCTTTGCTAACAATATGGTTTGGTATTCATTAACATGGTTCTAAAGAGTCTTCTGAAACTGTCCCCAAATGTGATAGTGTTGTATAAATAATGATGTTCAAGATTTGTGTATATTTAAAACATGTTGAGATCTGGATTAAAATTTGTCTTCCATGACCAATTCTTGTCGTAAGAGGCAACTAACGGGATCGGGTGGTCAGGCTCATTAACTTGGTTGACATGTCATTTTATCCCAGTTGCGTAGATTGATGCTCATGCTTTTGATCACTGGATTGTCTGGTCCAGAGTTGATTACTTCAGACAACCGTCATGTAGCGGGAAAATTGCTCAGTGAGGCATTGGACAACAACCAAACAGTGTAATGTGTTGATATGTTTTGAAAGAGTTAATGAAAATAAAGAGAATGCACTGCTTCACTATTGCATTCAACTGGGAATATTTCCAGCAATTGTAGAATCGCCCAGTAGTTCATGTGTTCACTCATCATGTCAAAGTCTCAGGTTTTATTCCCACAATGTGGGCAGTGGGGTAGCCTAGTGGTTAGAGCGTTCGCTCGTCACGCCGATAGACCCAGGTTCAATTCCCCATATGAGCACAATGTGTGAAGCCCATTTCTGGTGTCCCCCACTGTGATATTGCTGGAATATTGCTAAAAGCAGAGTAAAAGCCAACTCACCTACTTACTTAATCCCACAATGATATATTTTTGTAATCCTGGCATTAAATAATGCAGGAAGTCTAAATCAAATATTTTCATGCTACTTTTGGAAGGTTTCAGTTTCATAAAGAGTTAATGAAAAATCACCTCCTGGCAATTTACGGTTGGAATAGATCTCCACTAAAATGTTCTGGTCGTAATAGGTATTTGATGGTCAGACTTGGGCCCGATCCACCTAGTATTCATAGGTGTACGTCATTCATAAGCCTATGATACACTATAGAGTTACAACAGGTTGTAACGTGAGGAATGCTTTGTGGATGGGGAAGCTGGTTCATAGTGTGTCATCACATCCAAGCATCATGGTTCATGGTACACAACATCAATCACTGGATTGCCTGATCCAGGCTCAACATTGACAGTCTTCCTTAACATATCAAACATATTGCTGAATGCAGCTTTAAACAACACACGTTCAAAAGAATTCATCAGTTTTTGTTATGTCTCGCTTATTACGAGTCAGAAAAGCTGTAATCCACACTGAGAAAATATCCTCTCCCAAAATATTAGCCATCAAAACCTTCTTCCAAATGAAACCAGCTGAATAATAGGTGATGAGTATTTCTGGCGCTCTTTCCAGCTGAATGTTTATCTCAAAGATATTTTGGCAGACTATATTTATTGTGCATTATTATATCCTGTTCCTTGGGTAAATCGTCCAGACAAAATAAAAGGAATACTGATAATCTGCGAAAAAGCTATTTGCCTTGCCACTAACTCTAATGTTACTGGTGACATTCAGCATATTCAGTCCGTTTTTCTCGTAATAACATCTTTGTTTAAACATGGTGGAAGACAAAAGAGAAATTCGTGGATCTTTGTTTCGGGTGAAAACAATATCATGTTGAGCGTACGCTGACAAGACATATGGTGCTTGGATCTTCTGCTTCAAAAACACAATGCAGCTTCCCGCCCACTGTGAAGACAAAAAATGGCGTCTGCTCCTGTGAAGTACACGTCACGTGTCTCAGGATCCGCCTTGTTGGGAGCAAAAACATTAAGATCAGTGTCCGGGTAAGACACCTACGTTTGTTCTGGCAATGGTTAGGTAATGAGTTGTGCAAACCGAGGGGAAGTAGTATGTTAAGACAACAGGGAAGTGACATTTTGTTGCAGGAATGGGAAGCACCTGTTGCAATCATCACAGACTTCCTACTGCTTGTTGGAAGACTTTTTACGTGCATGTTCATGCGTAAAATAAAATGTCAAAGGAAATTAGAAACAAAAGTAAATATCTTTGGTCGATAAGATTTATTATTGGTTGGCGTAGTTTCATTATTTTTCTTAATCAATACCACAAGGACTTTTATACAAGGAGGCGAACAAAGACATTGTCGAGGTTTGTATGGGGATATTTCAAACAAACAAAGGTTCGAACTATTCTTTCAGTTAAACCATGTTTGTATCATTATATTTTATTGATTGTTTTACGAGATTAAGGTCAATCACTTCTTGAAAATAACAGATGAAATCGAGCATTACTGAAACTGTAACATATTTTGCCACTATAAGTTATTCTGGCATGTAATATGTGATTATTCTACATACCCAAATGAAGACAGATGATGGAAAAAATGAAGGAAATTTACCTTTAATTTTATAAACATTGCCAACTGTCTTTGTATTTTCAACACACCATCAATCATCTTGCCTTTAAAAACATGACAAACGTGATTTGCTACTGGAGCAACTGTTATGTTTTCAAAAGAGGATTGAGCAAGGAGTGCAACTCGATCGCTGTGAAATAATGCAGACGTGCAAACCCAAATGTTCCGAGTTCAGAAAGTGGCAGAATGTGTGTTTTTTCATACCAAAAATGCAGTTTGGTGAGATATATGCGAGTTGTTGCTGTTCATAGCATTTACCCAGCAAATGTTTCCCAGAGATATGCTAAAAAAATATTGTGGAGTTTTCTCCCTTTGCTGTAAAAGATTTTGGTTGATTATTGTTTTGAAGGGATGTTTCTTCCATATGTTATAAGTACTGTAAACATGAACCACCTTTAAAAATAAGACGATCTTTTAAAATATTTTTATTGATTTTAGAAATATAGTGTCATTATCTTTTAAAAGTATGAAATAATCATATGAAGCTACATTCTTTTTTCTTTCTTTTTGTCAAAGCTGTTTATGTTTATTAATATATTTTTTATAAATGTCTGTTTAATAGTCAAACAATATGTTTGACTGTCTAGGCTGCAATCAGCTCTTCGTCAATTTGTGATGCCATGTTGGACAAACCCAAAATAATCAAGACATGATTAAAAGTAATGGTTTTTTTATGAATCTGAGCTATCCAAACTCAAATTGGAACTATCTTAAACACATAAACATATATGACAGATGAGTTTGTTTAAAGCTTTTTCAAACATATTTTGATTTAATATCTTCAAATATTTTATCAACTGACTGATAATGGTTTAAGCTGCTGTTGGGGCAACTTGATGTAGGATGTTATAGTGTTTATAGCATCAGACAGTATCGGCTACATCCTTGTATACACACAAATGCCTGCGCAAACAACATCGGATCTGTCAGGATCCATCAACAATTTGTTCTGAAGTTTATAACTGTTTGCCGAGACCTCCAGATAATAAAGGAAGTGGCGAGATGGTCTGACTGTCTCTCAGAATTCCTGGGAGTATCTTTATGTTCATCACACCAAGCCTTTCATAGGATGTCGAAATAAATGGCTTACACATTTGAGTGTCAGACTGTGGAAGATCTTTGTCAGTCTTTGTTTTCCAACTCAACAAGATGGAAAACAGATGTAGTTAAAAGAATAACACAGCTCTCTTTATTTCACCGAGGACTGTTATTGGCATTACCGATTTGACATAATTCATGCTCTATTGCTGACCATGTTCCTCGCCATTGCATCCAAATTCTACTTTCGGTGGGATGATCGTGGATTCCTATTCCAGTTAACCCCAGTTGTGTTTTTCGGTTTGTCGGCACCATACCTGTTCTTGTAGGCTTCACCACTGTGGTATAAGTCAAAGAACTGCATCATGTCAGGCTTCCTTCCACATTAACCCGTGAAGGTCCGGGTGTGAATGTGCCTTCAGTAACCCATGTTTGTCGTAAGAGGCGACTAATGGGATCGGGTGGTCAGGCTCACTGGCTTGCTTGACACATGTCATCGGTTCCCAATTGCGCAGATCGATGCTCATGCTGTTGATCACTGGATTGTCTGGTCCAGACTTGATTATTTACAGACTGCTGCCATATAGCTGGAATATTGCTGAGTGTGGCGTAAAACTAAACTTGCTTACTCCTTCCACATTAAGCTAACACACTGTGTTATAGGCTAATAACATATTTACCAAAAAAACTGTTTTTAAAAAATCATCATAAAATATAATGAAAAGGAGCTCTGAGACGTTCATCATTTTCCTGAAACTGTGGAAATCTAGATTTGCCACATATTCTAGACTCGCATGGGCTTTCTTGGATATATTTGTTTCAGGGCCTGCATGATACCCTGTGTTATAACTGCAATACTTTCCAAAGCAGTGTTGAATCTAATTAAGCCCGTAGGATAACACGCTTCATTTTGATTGGGCAATAATGTTAGTCTAAAGCTTCTGTCATTGATATGTGGGGCAGTGGGGTAGCCTAGTGGTTAAAGCGTTCGATCGTCACGCTGAAGACCCAGGTTTGATTCCCCACGTGGGTACAATGTGTGAAGCCCATTTCTGGTGTCCCTTGCCATGATATTGCTGGAATTGCTAAAAGTGGCGTAAAACTAAATTCAGTCAGTCTTTCATTGATTTACTTTATCCTTGTAGCCAAATCAATTTTAACAGATCTTTGACAAAACACGTGTTTGCTCCCGAAGATATTGCTGTGGCTACTAGATTAATAACATTAAAGATAAAGATATTTAGCTCCTGAAGAAAATAACATAGAATCTGGTCTAGTTTTCCTGCTTTAAAGCAAGCACATCAGTAACTTGATAGACTGAGTCTTGTCATACTCTCACGGACCCGTGAAGATCTGGGGTAGAATAGGTCTTCAGCAACCCATGCTTGCCACAAGAGGCGACTAGCGGGAGCGGGTGGTCAGGCTCGCTGACTTGGTTGAGACATGTCATCGTATCTCAGTTGCGCAGACCGATGCCCCAGACTCAACTCGGGGCGGTGGGGTAGCCTAATGGTTAAAGCATCCGCTTGTCACGCTGAAGACACGGGTTTGATTCCCCACATGGGCACAATGTGTGAAGCCCATTTCTTGTGTCCCCCACCATGATATTGCTGGAAGGTTGCTAAAAGCGGTGCAAACCCTTACTCACTCACTTACTTATCATACGCTGACAACACGACACACTTCTCAATATGTTATTCATTGTTATCCCACCGGCATATAATGCGGTGGGATATAGTCGTCGCCTCGTCCGTCTGTCCGTCCGTCCGTCCGTCCGTCCGTCCGTCCGTCCGTCCGTCCGTCCGTCCGTAATCATTTTGTTTCCGGACCATAACTCAAAGACCGTTCGATATTTTTTAACCAAAATTGGTAGATATGTCAAAAATAACCTAAGGTGGTGCCTTTTGCTATTTACAGATAATTGTCATTTTTATTTTTCTCGGTTTCCATGGAAACGTTTTGGACTTAGTCTTAAAGAAGGGTGGGCTTCGTTTCCGGAGCATAACTCAAGAACCATTCAATATTTTTCAACAAAACTTGGTAGATATATCAAACAGATCCTAAAGTTGTGCCTTTTGCTATTTACAGATTTTTGGCATTTTTATTTTTCCCGGTTTCCATGGAAACAATTCGGACTTAGTCCCAAAAGTGAGGGGTGGGCTTCGTTTCCGGAGCATAACTCAAGAACCGTTCAATATTTTTCAACAAAAGTTGGTAGATATATCAAACAGAACCATGAGGGGTGCCTTTTGGTATTTGCAGATTTTTGTCATTTTTATTTTTCCCGGTTTCCATGGAAACATTTTGGACTTAGTCTCAAAAAGTAAGGATTGCTTTCGTTTCCGGAGCATAACTCAAGAACCATTCAATATTTTTCAACAAAACTTGGTAGATATATCAAACAGATCCTAAAGTTGTGCCTTTTGCTATTTGCAGATTTTTGGCATTTTTATTTTTCCCGGTTTCCATGGAAACGATTCGGACTTAATCCCAAAAGTGAGGGGTGGGCTTCGTTTCCGGAGCATAACTCAAGAACCGTTCAATATTTTTCAACAAAACTTGGTAGATGTATGAAACAGAACCTTAAGTGGTGCCTTTTGCTATTTGCAGATTTTTGGCATTTTTATTTTTCTTGGTTTCCATGGAAACATTTTGGACTTAGTCTCAAAAAGTAAGGATTGCTTTCGTTTCCGGAGCACAACTCAAAAACCGTATAATATTTTTCAACAAAACTTGGTAGATATATCAAACAGATCCTAAAGTTGTGCCTTTTGCTATTTACAGATTTTTGGCATTTTTAATTTTCCCGGTTTCCATGGAAATGATTCGGACTTAATCCCAAAAGTGAGGGGTGGGCTTCGTTTCCGGAGCATAACTCAAGAACCGTTCAATATTTTTCAACAAGACTTGGTAGATATATCAAACAGAACCTTAAGTGGTGCCTTTTGCTATTTGCAGATTTTTGGTATTTTTATTTTTCCCGGTTTCCATGGAAACGATTCGGACTTAATCCCAAAAGTGAGGGGTGGGCTTCGTTTCCGGAGCATAACTCAAGAACCGTTCAATATTTTTCAACAAAACTTGGTAGATGTATGAAACAGAACCTTAAGTGGTGCCTTTTGCTATTTGCAGATTTTTGGCATTTTTATTTTTCTTGGTTTCCATGGAAACATTTTGGACTTAGTCTCAAAAAGTAAGGATTGCTTTCGTTTCCGGAGCACAACTCAAAAACCGTATAATATTTTTCAACAAAACTTGGTAGATATATCAAACAGATCCTAAAGTTGTGCCTTTTGCTATTTGCAGATTTTTGGCATTTTTATTTTTCCCGGTTTCCATGGAAACGATTAGGACTTAATCCCAAAAGTGAGGGGTGGGCTTCGTTTCCGGAGCATAACTCAAGAACCGTTCAATATTTTTCAACAAAACTTGGTAGATGTATGAAACAGAACCTTAAGTGGTGCCTTTTGCTATTTGCAGATTTTTGGCATTTTTATTTTTCTTGGTTTCCATGGAAACATTTTGGACTTAGTCTCAAAAAGTAAGGATTGCTTTCGTTTCCGGAGCACAACTCAAAAACCGTATAATATTTTTCAACAAAACTTGGTAGATATATCAAACAGATCCTAAAGTTGTGCCTTTTGCTATTTGCAGATTTTTGGCATTTTTATTTTTCCCGGTTTCCATGGAAACGATTCGGACTTAATCCCAAAAGTGAGGGGTGGGCTTCGTTTCCGGAGCATAACTCAAGAACCGTTCAATATTTTTCAACAAGACTTGGTAGATATATCAAACAGAACCTTAAAGTGGTGCCTTTTGCTATTTGCAGATTTTTGGTATTTTTATTTTTCCGGTTTCCATGGAAACGATTCGGACTTAATCCCAAAAGTGAGGGGTGGGCTTCGTTTCCGGAGCATAACTCAAGAACCGTTCAATATTTTTCAACAAAACTTGGTAGATGTATGAAACAGAACCTTAAGTGGTGCCTTTTGCTATTTGCAGATTTTTGGCATTTTATTTTTCTTGGTTTCCATGGAAACATTTTGGACTTAGTCTCAAAAGTAAGGATTGCTTTTCGTTTCGGAGCACAACTCAAAAACCGTATAATATTTTTCAACAAAACTTGGTAGATATATCAAACAGATCCTAAAGTTGTGCCTTTTGCTATTTGCAGATTTTGGCATTTTATTTTTCCGGTTTCCATGGAAACGATTCGGACTTAATCCCAAAAGTGAGGGGTGGGCTCGTTTCCGAGAGCACAACTCAAAAACCTCTCTATATTTTTCAGCAAAACTTGGCAGATATGTGAGGCAGATCTTGAAGTGGTGCCTTTTGCTATTTGCAGATATTTGTGATTTATTATTTTTCTCGGTTTCCATGGAAATGATTCGGACTTAGTCTCAAAAGGAAGGGATGGGTTTCGCGTTTCGAACACAACTGGAAAAACTTCTTAATATCTTTCAGCAAAACTTGGCAGATATGTCAGGCAGATGCCAAAGTGGTGCCTTTGCTATTTGCAGATATTTGTGATTTATTATTTTCTCAGTTTCCATGAAAACAATTTGGACTTAGTCTCAAAAGGGAGGGGTAGGTTTTGTTTCCGGAGCACAACGCGAAAACTTCTTAATATCTTTCAGCAAAACTTGGCAGATATGTGAGGCAGATCCCAAAGTGGTGCCTTTTGCTATTTGCAGATTTTTGTCATTTATTTTTTTCATGATTTCCATGGAAACGATTTGCACTTAGTCTAAAATCAAGCTGGACTTTAAGTAACTGTCAGATGATTTGTTCTTTCAAAGATATGGGGGCCGGGGGGATATGTCATCTTCTGATGACTCTTGTTTTATAATATTATTGCTAAAAAGTGCATGTATTCTTGTGAAGATGACAATGGGGAGTGTTTGGGTCATCGTAAAGTCCTCCAGTTACATTCCTGAGAACAGTCCTTGCTCTTTTGAAGGTCCTGTTACTCTTGGCGCCAAGTTTGGTTCATATGGTAACCTGGATATGATGTGATTTCCTGTCTGGCTGTAGAATATATTAGGTCCGAGATGAGAAGTCATCCCTCTAGGTGTGATGTATGTGTATGTGGGACATGTGTGATGAGGAATGAATTACTCCTTTGTATTTGCTTCAGAAAAAATCTAAAAACATCTTCTAACATATGGTTGGTTTCAGTTGCAGGAATTTTACAAGGAAGGAAAGAGATCTCATCTTTTGTTTTTGTGTTTAATGCTGATGATAAAAATGGATCAAATCCTGCTTCTAGAATTCAGGAATGTATAATGTTATAGAATAATGTTATTCGTAGAGCGATTGGACTGATATCTGTTGTTTTTTTGGGAGTGGGTTGTTTACCCACAAAAATAATATGATCAAATGTAGAAATGAACTGGTGGCCACTTATGTAAAGAAACAATAAGTTTTGTGTGCAGGACAAATAAATCAAACTGATGTATCTAAACATGATTCAAAAATAATATTAAATCCTAGGACTCCGTGAAGATTAAATGTATGATGTTAAGAGAAGTACTAATGGTATCCTCATCCATATGACCATTTCTGGTGTCCCCCGCTGTGATGTTGCTGGAATATTGCTAAAAGCGGTGTAAAACCAAACTCAGTTATCCATATGATACCGAGGCAGATCAAAAACTTTGATAAAAAGGTTTGGGCACTGCTGCAACTTGCTAGCTTCAACGTCTGCCAGTTCTATACAGTTGTTGAAAACAACAAAATTCATTTACTGAAATTATTAATATCAATTTTGTTACACTCCAGGTGAGTATGAAAAGATCTGTGAAGTTCACCTGACCAATGACAGCATCTATGAGGATGACGAGAAGTTTCGCCTGGTGCTCGGCAACCCGCTCAGTCCTGGATTTGGTATTGCCAAGATTGGAGAGAGGAACTTCACAACTGTCAGAGTCAAGGACAATGGAGACAGTAAGTGTTGATTGAAGATATTGTATAGTGTTGTCCAAAACACATACTCTGATGGCTAGTATATACCAGTCTTACAAAACAAAAAAGTCATTTAAAGTATATCATTACTGTGTAACATGACTTAAATTATATATTGTGTCATAATTCATTTGAATACCTCCCTCGATTGGGTTGGAATTCGTCTTGGTTTTAAGAAGCAACTAACGGGATCAGGTGGCCAGGCTCGCTGACTTGGTTGATACATGTCATTGTGTCCCAGTTGTGTATATTAATGCTCATGCTGTTGATCATTGGATTGTCTGGTCCAGATTTGATTATTTACAAACCACCACCATTTTGCAGGAATATTGCATGTTGCAGTGTGAAACAACAAACAAATGAAACCAATTATTTAGAGATACCATGCTTCTGATTGTTATACGACGTGACATTAAGGGCTCTGTGTATTAGGAAATACATGGACCAATGTTGTGTTGGTGGTCGACATTGTATATAGCATATATGGCCTAAATAAAAAAGAAATATTGATTTATGTGTCATTGTTTCAAATTGAGTTGAATCTGATTGCATTATAGTCTGTTTGCAGTGAAAGCGTACCAATGAATTTCACTCTAAACAAAAAAGAAATTGATTAAAGCGAAATTAAGATTGCGAATCCTCATAATTTTACCTTGCCAATTGAACATTCAAATCTCAGAATTTTATTCAACTTAGGATAAAAGTTGTTTAACAAACGATCATAGTTTCAAATTGCTATTATTGGTTTGTATTACAAGGGGGTATGCACATTAGATGAAACACCGAGAACAAGTAGGGCTGGTCTAAGTTAACGCTCATCACATACAGCACATGCATTTGTTTCACTGTTCCATCTACTGTGCTTACCCCCTTGTAAAACAAACCAATAATAGCGATTTGAATCTATGATCGTTTGTTAAACAACTTTTATCCTAAGTTGAATAAAATTCTGAGATTTAAATGTTCATTTGGCAAGGTAAAATTATGAGGATTCACAATCTTAATTTCACTTAATTTGATTTACTTTTTGTTTTAAAGTGAAATTCATCGGTACATTTTCACTGCAAACAGACTAGGGAGTATGGGAGATAAACTGCAACACAAGAATGTTAGGCCTTAATTTTGATTGATATATGTACAAGCAACCTACAGAAACAATTACATGGTGGGGGATTTATGTTCCACAGAGGGACAATTTACAGTAGCTGGTATAACTATACATTGTAAACTAACCAAGATTATTCAACTATAACAAATGACTTAAAGAAGAACACACTTTAGTAATACACCTTTGGTATCCTTTGGTATCCGAGTAGAACTGGTCCCTACTAACCACAGCTTGTCGTATTTGTATGAGTATACTCAATGCATTATCTTCTTGTTTTTGTTAATTACATACTGAATATATATATAACCCTGTTTTCTACCTGTTGCGTACCTGCTTGACAACGATACAAGAATCTGTATCGAAACGTCACACCACCTGATTAAAGAAGTTGTTCGTCCATAAAGTTTGTCCTTATCCGCATTGATACACATTTTGTATCATACCATTATATTGAACAGGAGGTATTTCTATTGACCTCATTGGTATCCAAGAGTCCCCTGCGAAACAGTTTGTCATAAAAGGCGACTAAATAGATTGGTACAGTTTGCGTGTCATCCTACCCCAGCGTTGGTCAATATGTATGATGTTAGCCACCTGGACTTTGTTATTTACACTGAGGGCTGTGGGGTAGCCTAGTGGTTAAAGTGTTTGCTTGTCACGCTGAAAACCGGGGTTCGATTCCCCACATGGGTACAGTGTGTGAAGCCCATTTCTGGTGTCCCTTGCCATGATAATGCAAGAATATTGCTAAAAGTGGCATAAAACTATACCCACTCACTCACTATTTAGAATTCTGTGATATTGCTGTCTTACCTGGGTTGGAGATGTGCCAGGTACAGAAAGCTCGTTAAGTTTATCACAGGAAAAATCTGTCCAAACTTAATTATCTTCTGTTTTTTTTGGCTGCTAATGGTATTTATGTGTCAACAGTTATGGGTGCCCCAAAAAATCAGATGATGAACTTGGAGATAAACTGCAACACAAGAATGTTAGGCCTTAATTTTGATTGATATATGTACAAGCAACCTACAGAAACAATTACATGGTGGGGGATTTATGTTACACAGAGGGACAATTTACAGTAGCTGGTATAACTATACATTGTAACTAACCAAGATTATTCAACCATAACAAATTACTTAAAAAAGAACACACTTTACTAATAATTGTTGGAACTTATATGTCTTTTGAAACCTTTGGTATCCTTGAGTAGAACTGGTCCCAACTAACCACAGATTGTTGTATTTGTATGTGTACAGATATCCGGAAATTTGTTTATCCGGACAATTTCAAGAAAAACACAAGTGTCCGGATAAACGGGGCATGACTGTATACTGAATGCATTATCTTCTTGTTGTTTTTGTTAATTACATACTGTATATATATATATAACCCTGTTTTCTACCTGTTGTGTACCTGCTTGACAACGATAGAAGAATCTGTATCGAAACGTCACACCGCCTGAATAAAGAAGTTGTTCGTCCATAAAGTTCGTCCTTATCCACATTGATACACATTTTGTATCAAACCATTATATTCAACAGGATGTATTTCTATTGACCTCTTGGTATCCAAGAGTCCCCTGCGAAACAGTTTGTCATAAAAGGCGACTAAATAGACTGATACAGATTGAGTGTCATCCTACCCCAGCGTTGGTCAATATGTATGATGTTAGCCACCTGGACTGTTATTTACACTGAGGGCTGTGGGGTAGCCTAGTGGTTAAAGCGTTTGCTTGTCACGCTGAAAACCGGGGTTCGATTCCCCACATGGGTACAGTGTGTGAAGTCCCTTGCCATGATAATGCTGGAATATTGCTAAAAGTGGCATAACACTATACCCACCCACTCACTCACTATTTAGAATTCTGTGATATTGCTTATTTGTATGTGTACAGATATCCGGAAATTTGTTTATCCGGACAATTTCAAGAAAACACAAGTGTCGGATAAACGGGGCATGACTGTATACTGAATGCATTATCTTCTTGTTGTTTTTGTTAATTACATACTGTATATATATATATAACCCTGTTTTCTACCTGTTGTGTACCTGCTTGACAACGATAGAAGAATCTGTATCGAAACGTCACACCGCCTGAATAAAGAAGTTGTTCGTCCATAAAGTTCGTCCTTATCCACATTGATACACATTTTGTATCAAACCATTATATTCAACAGGATGTATTTCTATTGACCTCTTGGTATCCAAGAGTCCCCTGCGAAACAGTTTGTCATAAAAGGCGACTAAATAGACTGATACAGATTGAGTGTCATCCTACCCCAGCGTTGGTCAATATGTATGATGTTAGCCACCTGGACTGTTATTTACACTGAGGGCTGTGGGGTAGCCTAGTGGTTAAAGCGTTTGCTTGTCACGCTGAAAACCGGGGTTCGATTCCCCACATGGGTACAGTGTGTGAAGTCCCTTGCCATGATAATGCTGGAATATTGCTAAAAGTGGCATAACACTATACCCACCCACTCACTCACTATTTAGAATTCTGTGATATTGCTAGAATATTGCTTACTGCATTGTTAAACAAGCAGCGAAACAAATGATTGCTCACACATTTTGTCTTTCAGAATCCGTGGTGATGTTTGAGAAGACCAAGTTCGTGGTGAAGGAGCCCATGTATAAGGAAGAGACGTCTATAGTGAAGATCCCAGTAATTCGTGTTGGAGACATAGGCGAGACGGCTGTCGTCTCCGTCAACACCAAAGACGGATCAGCTGATGCTGGAAAAGACTACAACGGCATCTTCAAAGGTATCAAAGCATCAGCATGTGTTATTTATCCTCAAGATACACCTTATTACTTCTACTATACAATTCAATGATATTAATAGGTTTGGTTCAAGTTTTTGAAGTGTTAACAATAATCGTGGCATGTCTTGTGTTTCAGAGGTTTATTATACAATGAATGTTTTTCTTCAGTGCTGACATTTGGCAAGAATGTGTCGAGACAGGAAGTGGAGATTGAGATATTGCATGATGGGAAGAAGGAAATGAGAGAGGTGTTCACTGTCCACCTCAAACACCGAAGTGGTGTTGCCGAGATCAAGGTGAGTCTCCCTGTGTGGAAAAACTGAACCTTTATTTCACTTGAAGACATTAAACTGGAATTGTTAAATTTGTTGACACAAACATCTCCCATTTTTATGATTCAAACTTAAAATGTCTTTTGAAAGGCTATAAAATGTAAAATGTTTGATAATGGTTAAATTCTTCACTTTAAAGAAGCGTATTATTTTAACATCTTTGTTTTTGAAATTTTTATTGCATGTGATCTTTTGTAGGAAATTAAGCTGATCACTGATACAATTATGGCTTTTTCTATTTTTACTAAAATGTCTTGTCATATGAACCAAAAACATTTTCCACTTAAACAAATTTTACAATTGCCCAGATCGATGCTCTTGTTGTTGATCACTGGATTGTCTGGTCCAGACTCGATTATTTACAGACCGCCGCCATATAGCTGGAATATTGCTGAGTGCGGCATAAAACTAAACTCACTCACTCACTCACTCACTAAACAAATTTTAAGCGTTTGGGCCAACTTGAGAATATCTGGTGAATTCTGATTTTCTGCTGTTTTCACAAAGTTCAGTGAATTATCTCCATTTGCGTAGATTGACGCTCATGCTGTTGATTACAAGACTGTCTGGTCCAGACTCGATTTTTTACAGATCACTGTCATATAGCTGGAATATTGCTGAGTGTGGCGTTAAACAACCAAACAACTTGTAAATTATCTGTTGACTTTATTTGTTTCAGAATCCAAAAGTGATGGTATTCATTGAGGAGAGAGTGAAAGTGGCTGATGTAACGTTCCCCTCACGTCCTGCCGTGGTGTCACTGCGAGACTATGACACCATCAGTGACAACCTGCCCAGTCCAATACAGGGCTATCCTGTCGTGTGTGTTACAGTGAGTAAAGGATATCTGTACTACTTATCCAGGGTCCACGTTCACAAAGCTATTTTAGTTCTACGATGATCTTAACTTCCATACTCTATCACAGAGTTACTATAGTCATACACAAAGCAATCTGAGCTCTATGATGATCATAGCTTCAGGGCCTTGATTTTCAAAGCTCTTTTAGCGCTAAGATAGTCGTAAGTGCCATACATTAACATTAACTTACGACTATCTTAGTGGTAAGAGAGCTTCGAAAATCTAGGCCCAGTACTTTAACAAAGACTTACGCTAGTCATACATGAAGCAGGCTTAGCTCTATGATGATCTTAACTTCAGTGCTTTAACAAAGACTTACGATAGTCGTACATGGAGCAGGCTTAGGTCTACGATGACCATAACTTCAGTGCTTTAACAAAGACTTACGCTGGTCGTACATGAAGCAGGCTTAGGTCTACGATGATCATAACTTCAGTGCTTTAACAAAGACTTACGCTGGTCGTACATGAAGCAGGCTTAGGTCTACGATGATCATAACTTCAGTACTTTAACAAAGACTTACGATAGTCGTACATGAAGCAGGCTTAGCTCTAAGATGATCATAACTTCAGTACTTTAACAAAGACTTGATGTATGGTGGTACACAAAGCAATCTTAGCTCTATGATGATCATAACTTATGATGATCATAACTTCAGTACTTTAACATAACAACCATAGATGTATGATAGTCACACACAAAGCATCTTAGCTCTATAACAACCATACTTCCATACTTTACATAGATGTATGATAGTCACACACAAAGCAATTTAGCTCTATAACAACCATACTTCCATACTTTACATAGATGTATGATAGTCACACACAAAACAGTTTAGCTCTATAACAACCATACTTCCATACTTTACATAGATGTATGATAGTCACACACAAAGCAGTCTTATCATAGCCTCTGACATCGAGCTTCGATATTGAGTACACGAAAAGTCTTATCATGGCCTCTTATGCTAACATCGACTTACGATATTCGTACACAAAGCAGTCTTATCATGGCCTCTGTATGCTAACATCGACTTACGATATTCGTACACAAAGCAGTCTTATCATAGCCTCTGTATGCTAACATCGACTTACGATATTCGTACACAAAGCAGTCTTATCATAGCGTCTGTATGCTCCCATACTATAACACAGACTCACAATAGTGAACTTTGGAGACAGTGGTCAATACCATGAGCACCAATCCAATAGACAGTGCAACAATGGGCAATCACTCTTGCCACCAGTTCACATGTTCCATCCAAAATTTTTTATCAGGGTAGCTTTTAAAATCTTTCAAGACCAGTCATTGTCCTGGATCACATCTCCAAACAGTGCCTTGAGTTACACAAGAACTAAAGTGTAACACATTGTTCCAACATTGTATTACATCTCACAATGGAAACACTATCACTCAAATGGCAATGACACCCCTGAACTGGAAACTCAAGCTGCTTCCCCCGAAGCCTGTATCCTGTAGACAGATCTGTTTATAAACATGCAGAAAAACAAATACCTCGATGGAAAGCACAAAGCATGTATTCATTCCTCTGGTTCTCACACATTGCTCCCTCTGCAACTGTGATGGACCAGGTCAAGCTTGTTGTGACCAGCCACTTCAATACAGGCAGGGTGGTCAAGCACCTGCTGAACTTGCATGGTGATCACTTGGGAGATATTTCCACCAGTGAACTGCCTGGCCTGTGGTCGTACCCATGGGCTTAGACTGTCTCACAGTCCCTCAACTGATTTATTTTCCATTCCTGGGAATTTGACCCACAAAACAACAATTTTTTCTAATGATCACTATACAAAAATAAATACCATAAAATATTTATCTTCTTGAGACTTTTTTCAAATGACTTTCAGGAATTCTTTTGGTATATTGCATGAAACAGTTAAAGGTCCAGGGGTGGAAATAACTATATGATTGCTAGTATACTCCGGTACAGTGGCACATGTAAAATCACTTGCCCTGATAATTTTTCCACTATACCGGCCAATTTTTTGTTCAATTTTTTAAATAAACAATATAATTAACATTAGAAAGCCCACTGGACACCGGTACAGCATGATATACAAATTTGCTTGCCCGACAGAAAAAAACAGGCAATGGGTTGTTTCCTACCCTAAGGTCAAGAACATGAAAAAGTTACCAAAATATTTGAGTTGAAAACTTTTTCAAAATGTGATTTTGTTACTACTGCAGTCACTGGTAGCCTAGTGGTTAGAGCGATTGCTCATCACGCCGAAGACCCGGGTTTGATTCCCCAAATGGGTACAGTGTGTGAAGCCCATTTGTGGTGTCTTCCGCCGTGATATTGCTGGAATATTGCTAAAAGCGGCATAGAACTAAACTCACTCGCTCACTCACTCTCACTCACTCACTCATCTGTACATCACACACTCACTCATCTGTACATCATTCACTCACTCACTCTTCTGTACATCACTCTCCTCTGTATTCAGCCCTGTAACCCCAAGCACCCAGACTTCCTGAAGACTGGAGAGCTCTGTTCCAAGGAGGGCATAAACAACACCCGCACACTGTTCCGCTGGCGGACCTCGGCACCCACAGGAGCAGACGGTGTGTCCAGTGACCTCAAAGACGTGTCATCAAACACATACTTAGCATCTACTAAAGGCATCGCCCTGGACAGTATCTATTTCTCAGGAGGTATGTCAAATCTTTATTACCAAACTCTCTGATATTAGGGACCATCTTAAAAACTATCTCATTAGTAATGGAAGTCATCCTAAATTTCGAAATATTTGCTCATTTAAAACATACACAAGATGACTATGTTTCATACTTTTTGTGGAGGTACAATAAGCCCTTTAAATTATTAATTATCACAATGTTGCAAATTCTTGTAAATATATTTTATGAGGCATCAAAACTGATAATGGTTTTCAAAATATTGCTTTATTCCTTAGAAACTGTATTCTCTTCCCACAGAGGTCATTTGTCTTATCTTCCTACAAACCTCTGTTCTAATACGACCTTTTCATGGTGCGAGTGTTCAGGATTCGTGATTGGTTGTAGTCAGATTTAGTTGTGCAATCAGCGACATGGTTTCAAATGTGATCATTCGCAAGGCCTCGGTAATTTCCGTATGCTTCAGGAAAACTAGAACCTCTTCCCCTGTGCGATGCACAAACGTTTCATCTAGACAGAACTCAGTCATGTAATATGGCCATATTAGAACGGAGATTCGTAGGAAGATATGACTAGCCACCTCTGTGAGAAGAGAATGTACAAACTGGTGCACAGACACGTTTATATATGACTCTTAAATATCCTAATTATTTTCTTCTGAGAATCCACATTTATTTATTTGCCAGGAAACTATTACTATTATATGGAGCATATTCTAACATTGTTATGTGAATTGAAAATAAATGTCACAGATTGATTATAATTAATATGATTAAATCAGCCTTTGACATGGCCCCTGTGGTTAAGGGTGGTTGGGAAGAACTCAATATGTCTGAAAAAATTCAGTTAATTGCTCACAGTAGGGTATCAGCATTATCTGGTACTCACTAAAACCTGAGCACTGGCTTGTGTTTCACTCCAGTGGGAGTTGATATTGCATCAAGATTATCACAAGGCATTCTGCAAACACTTGATTGCTTTTATTAGAGCTTTAATGGTCATAAAGATTTCTGGAGTTTCCTACTGAAAGGGGTGTGGATAACTGAGAGGAAAATATCTTCTATGTGACCAATGAAACTACATGCTCCGATCCAGTAGCAGCGTTGAGTTTGCGATGTTTCCGATTTTACTGCCATACCAAACAGACCATGTCATCTTGTTTTACAGTTACCTTGGCTGGTTAAGTAGCATTTTTAAATATCTGGGACAAATTGGTTCACTTTTTAATTGGCTGATCATAACTATATGTTCAACTCAAATCACATTTTCCAAAGTATATCTTTTGTACATTTTGATAATTTTTTTATATTTCCTGTAAAGGTTTAATGGATATTTTTTAAATGTTGCAGATTGAATTTTGATTTTGAACATGGCTACTTAAGATTACATTTCTTAAAATCTAACATCTAATCTGTAAAATATTGCTAAAATATATTATTCAAATATTATTCAAAAATGAGGACTGTAATAATATACAGTGTCATTGTTAAATTTAACTTTAAAACATGATGGAATGTTTAGTACTTATACTCTAGCCAAACATGTCTGTGTTAGACGAACGCTTGGTCTCTGAAAATTTGTAATGTTGATAGAGAGAAGCAACTACAACTAAATTGAAAAGGAGCCCAGATGGGTGTCCCTGAATATGTGGAAATCTAGACTTGCTTATTATGGTTATAGCATTTCAGTGCTAGGAGGAAGGGGAAACTGATATGGTTGACTGACTGACTGAGTTTTAGTTTTACGCCGCTTTTAGCAATATTCCAGCAATATCATGGCGGGGGACACCAGAAATGGGCTTAACATATTGTGCCCATGTGGGGAATCGAACCCGGGTCTTCAGCGTGATGAGCGGACGCTTTAACCACTAGGCTACCCCCACCGCCCCTGATATGGTTGAGGGACTGTGTGACAGATGTATGCTTGTGTGTGTTCCAGGGAGTAGAATACAGTGTGGAGCCCGTGCTGTCAACATGGACGGTGACCCCGGCCTGGAGCTGCTCAGTGAGCCGGTCACAGTCAAGACAGACATGGGAATCTGCGAACCTCAGGAGATGAACTCCATTGGTGCCGAGCCATTCACAGCCAAAGTCCGATATACAGGTATGTGATATAAGAGAACTTGTCTGAAAGTCAGATCCGTTGAACATGTATGACCTAAAATCATCTTTTTGTCATCAATGAGCAGTAGGTCTTCTAGTTTCCTGGGCTCCATTCCTCAAAGTGATCCCCGACCGCGTCATACCAAAAGACGTTAAAATATGGTACTTGTTGGTCCCTGCCTGGCGCTCGGCATTAATGGGTACAACAAGGACTGGTCGGCTCGGAGTCAGTATAATGTGGGGTATTCCTGCTTCACTGCGGCATGGTATCTCAGTGGGCTAGCACTATAAAACCAGCTTAAGTCTGGGCTAGTACAAGCAGCCGCACATCCACATACACACGCATGCATGTCGTCATATGAGCGAAATATTCTCAAGCACGACGTTAAACCCAATTTCACCTCACCTCAAAGTGATCTTAGTGCTATGATAACTGTAACTCCCATACCTTACAATAGGCTGACAATAGGCAATACGGTAAGCATTAATAATCTCAGCTTCAGATTGATAAACATTTGACAAAGGATCCTTGACTGAATAGAGCACACACAGTCAGCCATTACTGAAAGATGTGTATGTTCAACAATCCAGGTCCAGATGATCCCAAGTACCCCAACAAGGTCCGTGTTGCCGTGACAATCCCACACAGAGATGGCATGCTGCCAGTAGTATCTACCCGACAACTGTCTAACTTTGAACTGACCCTGAGCCGAGACGGCACCCGCATTGCAACACACCGTTGCTCCAACCTGCTGGACTTCGATGAGTACGAAACTGAGTATGGCTTCATCACCAATGCAACCAAAAACCCCAACATCATTGGAGAGACAGAGCCGTATCAGTACAGCGCCGACCTCAGATCAAAACCAACCCTCAGGTTCTACAGGTAAGCTTGCATATGGTTGTTTGTTTTATACAGCAAATATTAAATTGAACTGTGCAATTCCAAGTGTAACACACTCCAAATGAAAAATCTTTTATCTACTTATTTCAAAGAAGAAAACTCATAATTGTGTTTTAGGATCATTGTAGAGTAAATATGCTATTGTATTAAGCCCTCAGCTCCAACAAGCACTCCTTAAGACTAATGCTTAGTCATGAAGATATATATTTTCAGCAGGAACAAATAATTACATTTAAATTGAAAATGAGCCCCAGTGAGAGCCCCTGAAAAAGATCTAGACTTGCTTGGATTAAACCCTTTTGTTCAGAATAGTTTTCCATTATTTCAACAGTGTGTGATGAATTATGATGCAGAGGTCATCATATTATATATGGTATGATGCACAATGAATGACCTTATTAGGGGCTGTGTGTAAGGTGCAGCAGTTCTATCTGACCTTGACCTTGATGTTTTCAGAAACCTGAATATGGACTCATGTTTGTGGGAGTTCGTCAGCTACTATGACATGTCTGAACTGACTACTGACTGCGGTGGAGAAGATAAACACTGATGGACAGGTAAACAATCGTTAACAGGTGAACTCCTTCCTGAACTACTGCTGTCCAGTTATATATGCTTAATGCCACACTCAGATGTTACATCTATGTGATGGAATTTTGTAAATAGTCAGATCTGGACCAGACAATCCAGTGACTGACATTAAGAGCATCGAGTCACTTCCCAGATAGCATTCAGATGAGGGCCCAACGTTGGCAATGGTTAATGCCACACTCAGATATTACATCTATGTGATGGAATTTTATAAAATAGTCACATCTGGACCAGACAATCCAGTGACTGACATTCCTGACCAGTCACTTCCCAGATAGTCATTCTTACAACAAACACGTTGGCAATGGTTAATGGAGACCAGATATGGAATAATGTACATAGGTTGTTGCTTCTTGCTGGAAAGCGACAATCCAGTGACTGTTATGAATCCCCACGGGTACTTCCCAGAACGCCCATTTCAGTGTGTCCCCGCGAGTGATGTTGGTTGGAATATTGCTAAAAGCGAATAACCAAACTCAGTCAGTCAGTCTTGCTGGAAAATTTAATCTAGATGATCTGTCCCTGCAACATACATCGGAATCATACATCTAGTATATGTTTTTCCAACCCAGAAACATTTACAGAGGAATATCCTTACATTAGTATACACCATACTTGATTAGGTACACCTAACAATGTTTGTAATTTATGAATAATGAATTTATTTATATTAATTTATGATTAAGATACAAATATTCTTACTCCTGATACATTTTTAATCATTACAATTTACATTATGTCCAAATATGGATTTACAAAGTAAAACTGTTGTGTGTTGATCAGGTGCTGGATTCCAAGCAGTCTTATGTATCGATCGTGGTACCGCTGTATGTGTCGTACATCTTCCACTCCCCTGTCGCCACCGGCGGCTGGACCCACTACGACATGCAGTCACAGCTACAGCTCACCTTCGTCTATGACACAGCCATCTTGTGGCAGAATGGAATTAGCTCCCCTGAAGGAGAATCTGGACTTCAAGGTACGTAGGCAAATTTGAGTTAAGAAGATTGTCAAAAAATTTAAATTAAAAAAAAAATCATAATAATCAAAATGAAGCATTGATGAATTTTTACACTTTCACATGACATGTTTTTGGATAAAAATACTAAATATGTAACTAATATTTCATTGATTTTATTGGTCTTGCAAATTCAAAATAAAGAAAGTTGCAAACAGAATGTTTATGAACGTCACTCTAATGCACATCCAACACTACTGACTGTGACATGTTGTTAGGTTACCTGTACCCGACTACCATGAGGATACGTGATGATGACCGCCTATCAGTTACATTCCGGACAGAGGCCAGATTCAGGGGGCAGTTTGTTCTTGGACACAAAGGTATGAGCTGTAAACCATGACCATGTATAGCTTACTGAAGAATATCACAATTCCACCAAAAATATGTCTTCATACAGTTGGAGAAAAATACTATTTCTTCAGTATGTCAATCACATGTTTCACAATTTTCCACCATAATGATACTTGTAGAAAACTGTTTACAGCACATATGATTTTAAGGTAATATTTTCTTATTAAAGTGTGTAGATGGAATATTACTGAGTGCTGACTACAATAAACAAAACATTAACATACCATTTATGTTTAATTACAGAGACCAAGTTGGAATCCATGGTTACCTCCCCTGACCATCCATCTCTGACCTTCACCCTGAAGCTTATCCGAAGTGAACCCACCTTTGAGCAGCCAGAACAACTCTGGGAATTTGTGTCCGACTATGCTGTAAGTAAAGTTTTGCTGGCATAAAGATAAAATTACTCAATAATGTATCCTGTCTTAGTGTGAAGTCTGATACATACTACCCAAACAAGTTAAAGATGGCACTGGTGCTGGTGGGTACTCAAATACAGCTTTCCAATTGTGGGTGTTCTTAACTTGTTTTGAGTAGTATAGAAATCTGTCCTTATCATTTTGGCTTGTAAGTACAGGACCCTAGCTGTCACCCCAATACAACATATGTTCTTGTTTGTTTGTTTGTTTAATGCTAGACTTAGCAATAATTCATCTATATGGCGGTGGTAAATAATCGAGTCTGGACCAGACAATGCAGTGATCAACAACATGAGCATCGATCTACACAACTGGGATATGATGACATGTGTCAGAGAGCCTGACTACCCGATCCTGTTAGTCGAATCTTACGAAAAGCATGGGTATCGAAATACCAACCCAAGATTCCAACATATGGATGGATTGTGTGAAGCAGAGATTTTAACTGATCAGGAACCTTATCATAGTGGCAGAATATGTCCATACTTGTCCTAAGTAGTGTCTGTTGAGGATTAAGTGATCATAATATGGACCTCTGGCCTTGTTCTACAACCTGATCTTTGAGACGCCACTGTTTTAAATCATGCATTCATTTTGATGACCAGGTGCGCGACTACTCCGGACTGTACAAGATCCAGCTCATACCCTGCACAACCTCCATCAACCAGGAGTACTCCATCCCACCCATCTGCAACCCACGCAATCACCTCAACTTTGACCTCCCAATCAGGTTCCAGCAGGTCAGTGACCCTGTGCCCACCAAGTTCAGTCTGAACACTGACTTCCATCTGATGCGGAAGAGGGCGCTGTGGCTAGGAGATGGATCGATGGGCTTCGGGGACGAGACAGACCCGCCTTCACACCTGGTAGGTTAAAACACATTCACACCTGGTAGGTTGACACACCTTCACACCTGGTAGGTTAAAACTCATTCACACCTGGTAGGTTGACACCTTAACACACATTCTGGTAGGTTAAAAAACACATCACAAAACACATTCACACCTGGTAGGTTAAACACACATTAAAACATCTGGTAGGTTGACACACATTCACACCTGGTAGGTTAAAACTCATTCACACCTGGTAGGTTAACACCTTCACATCTGGTGGGTTAAAACACATTCACACCTGTTAGGTTGACACCTTCACACCTGGTAGGTTAAAACACATTCACACCTGGTAGGTTGACACCTTCACATCTGGTAGGTTAACACACATTCACACCTGTTAGGTTGACACCTTCACATCTGGTAGGTTAAAACACATTCACACCTGGTAGGTTGACACACCTTCTCACACGTCTGGTAGGTTAACACACCTTCACACCTGGTAGGTTGACACACCTTCACACCTGGTAGGTTAACACACCTGGTAGGGTAGACACACTTCTTCACACCTGGTAGGTTGACACACCTTCACCTGGTAGGTTAACACACCTTCACTGGTAGGTTAACACACATTCACACCTGGTAGGTTGACACCTTCACACCTGGTAGGTTAACACACCTTCACACCTGGTAGGTAGACACACCTTCACTGGTAGGACACAAATCCACACCTGGTATCTGGTAGGTTAACACACCTTCACACCTGGTAGGTTGACACACCTTCACACATGGTAGGTTGACACACCTTCACACATGGTAGGTTGACACACCTTCACACATGGTAGGTTAACACACCTTCACACCTGGTAGGTAGACACACCTTCACACCTGGTGATTTCACACACCTTCAAGTGGGTTGACACACCTTCACACCTGGTAGGTTGACACACCTTCACACCTGGTAGGTTGACACACCTTCACACCTGGTAGGTTGACACACCTTCACACATGGTAGGTGAAACACACCTTCACACATGAAATCGCCTGGCACACCTAGAAGGTAGACACACCTTCACACATGGTAGGTTAATACACCTTCACACATGGTAGGTAGACACTCCTTCACACCTGGTAGGTAGATACACCTTCACACATGGTAGGCTTAGAGTACTTTGTGGTCTAAGTTCAATTCAAGTCATCCAAAATCCAAATGCTAAGATTTCAAGAGTTAATGATCCAACAGTCAGCAGTATAACTCCCTTTCTCTGTGACCATTGGGTTACTGTAATGTAGCGTTACAAGCTTCACCGGTTATGTAATTGGTCAACTGGCATTGGGCTAAACTCATTGATCTGTGTGTATCATTAATGTGAATGTTGACAGTTACATGAAACACTTCTGGACGTATCACCACTATGCGAACCACTTACGTACAACATGTATTCCACAGCCGACAAGATCTATGGTCGTATCAATGTTGACCCCGTCCAGAACCTTGGCAGCTCGTTTGCTCTGACAATTGAGAAGGTGTTCCTGTGTTCTGGGAAGGACGGCTACATCCCCAAGTACGACCCAGCCAACAAGGAGTTTGGCTGTGTGGCCGAGAGCGAGAACCTGCAGCACGTCTTCAAGATTCTGGTAGGTTCAAGGTTTAAATAGTGCACCACTTTCTTCACACACTTTGAGGTATGATAGACATTCCAATCTTAAAAGGAAAGCAATTTTTGAAACAATACATTTTTGGACACTTTGACCCATCACTCCCGGTTGTTATTGTTACCCAGGTTTTTCTAACAACTCCCCGACCCCAACACTTAAGTCAATTGCCCCTGCACTGTTATGAAGTCAAATACAATATTCACCCTGGGAGAAACGAGAGTTTGAGAAAGAACTGGGCAGTAAAATGAAGTTTCTGAACAATAATTTGTGACATTTGTCTTCACTTGTCTGTTTAACAGGACAAAGGAGCTCCCTACACTCAGATGGAGAGATTCCGGGATATTCCATTTAATGCCAGGCTAGCAAGCGAAGATGTAGATGCGATCCCATTGGTCAAACAGCCAGGAGCAGATGGCTTCTCTGTCGACTGTGAGCCCTTGTTCAGAGTAAGTTTCAGGACAATCACAAGATTGGATCATGAATAGATATCACTTTTGACTGTGAGCTTGTGTTCCAGGTTATAAGCAAATCATGGGGTAAGATCATGATTAAGTTTCTTTGTTGATGTGAGTTATTATACTACTCACACTTTGCTAAGGATCACAAAAATTCGCATATTTACTTAAACGTAGATTTATGATTTGAAACTGTATCCATTTAAAACTGGACAAATAATGATATGGTAACACGTCTTTAGAAAAACAGACACTTTAAGCTAACCATATACATGTGATACATGAGTAACCATAAAATGGTTTCATGGCACCAACCAATCATTTTGCAAATCATGGCACGGGTCATGGACAAGTACACAACAGCTGTCAATACCAGGTAGGGGATCCACAAGATGCAGTGACATACTGAAACCTAGGATCCATGCTTACAATACGCTTAGATATTTAAACCAAAATTGACCCCACATCATAGTTTTCTGTTGAATCAATGATTTGATCCTTAGCAAAGTGTGAATAGTAAAGATTAAATAGACTCCTTCCTCCTATAGGAGTAAATAAGAATCTTTCTTTGGTTCAAGCATTAATTAGTCACACACATGGACAGTGCTGTTTTCTTTAGGGGTTCATTTGTGAATGTGGGAAATTGCCGAAAGCACCTCAAAACTCACTCACTCTATTTGGCAGGTTGATGGAGGACGTCAGTGGTTCTTGCATTCGATCTACACAGTCCGTTCCAAAGAAAATGCTGCTCGCGGAATCGGTAAAAGAAGTATTGAATACCATGCTGTTATGGATGCCTCCCGTGTTAGACGAGACACAAGGGATGCTAATGGTATCGGCGAGGATGGAAAAGGAACCAACATGGCTCGTGTGGAACTTGTTCCCTTAGACGAGGAAGGCGTTCAAGAAGTTGGAACCAATGCCGAAGATGAATATCCAATTTTGTTAATCGTTATCATATCATGTATCGGTTTGTTATTATTAATCTGCATTTTAATCATTATTATATGTATCGTTAGTCGTCGTAGGAAACACACATCACCCCCTCCGTCACCCACGAACACCATTGTGGTGGCAGGCAGTGCAGGGTCTTCCCGCGTGGTGACAGCCCAGCACTATAATAATGATAGGACTGAAGTGTAGCAGTTTACGTCACGTGGTACGATTATATTTACATTACGTATGAGGAGTATTCTTTTTATTTGCTCAAAATTTCTAAATGGAACTGAAAGAGAATAATATGTCTACAAATGGAATATTATTTGTGAGAATGTTCTCTGATTCCACGAGAAAAATATAAAACGAAAGTAGATAATTCTGTTTTCATTCCATTTAGAATTTGAATTATTGGAAGGTTAAGTAAGTTTGGAAAATACTCACTTGTTCAAGGAGGAAAAAACAGGAATTATGAGTGCTATGTGAATCCAATACTTGAATTTTTCATTGTAAGTATTGTTTCTTCATTCAATACTTAAATACTTCATTAAGAGTATTGTGTGTTCGCTATGCACAGACATAGCCCATAAAGGCCGATGAATGGTGCTATACAGTTTATACTAAATCCCCATGTTTACAACTAACACCATAATTGTACTTTGTGAGATATTCTCCCATGTTGATAATACAGTGCTTTTGACCTTTGCTGTGAGTTTCACTGATACAGCAAGTCAGGCTGTGCTCAAAGGGAGAAATTCATCACACGTTTTAAAATATTGATGACAGTGTATTTAATTGTACTCACAAGTAGTCTTCCAAAATAAATCTGTTTTTCAATTTTCAAATATATTTCAAATGTTAATTTCAAAGCCACTTATAATTAGATGTTCCGATTTTTTTTTCCGATTTTGAGTACATTTCCTGCTTATGGTGTAATATTTTATGGTTTTGTTCTGATATTATTTGTATATTATGAAAACAAAGCCTCGGTTCACTGCATCTTATAAGCTTAAGATGATTTTGACTTAGACATTGAATGCAAGTGTTTCTTAGGCAGCACAGAAACTGCAGATGGGAGCCTTTTTTATTGTTAAAAAGCATGCTACCCTAGTGTGATATTTTATTTTTTGCTTTGAAGCAGGCATAAAATGCTGTCATACGAGATGTTTGTCGATGCGATGATTCTTAAGAAGCACCTGTTGTTTGTCCATAACCTGGAGTGTCTGTATCCTGTGACCAGCCATCTTGTGAGATGGGGAAATGTGTGTGAGCTTAGCTGCGTTTAGTTTAACCCATTCAGCGTTCCATCGTTTGTTTCTGTCCGCAACTATGTTTTCGCAAACGGTTTCACCCAGTTCTTTCAGATGTTTGTCCAGCATCACCCTAGGAACGACATTTTAACGGATGAATGATATGCAATGTTGGTACATTTATCACATAAGATATTGCCATAAATTCTGTTGGCTTCAGTTTGAGTCATTACGGACATCAATATTTAAGCAGCATTGTAGAATGTGTGACAAGTAGAAATCTATTGTCATCAAGGCAAAATAGATATGACACATAACTAAGTAAGTGTCTTACTGTGATCACAACAAAATGATCAACATTATCACTCAAACAAACTTTGAAAAAAATCTTTTGTTATTATTATGTTGACAACACTATGCGTTAGCATTGTTCTCCATTTGTTATTTTAAAATATATCCTCAATCAGAAGCTTCATTAATCATTTTTTATTTCACAAGCAAATTTGATAATTTTCTGTCATATGGATATGCAAGAAGATGTGCCTTGTCAACAGGAACTGCTGATATACCATAGTGCATAATAATGCTGGGTAGCCCAATGGGCAGAGTGTTAGCCTGTCACAAACATGGTCCGTGTTTAATTCCCACCTGAGCAGAAACTGTGATGCCCAATACATCCCTTGTCTGCTTGTTATCATCTTTTGAATGTCAATTTGCTGGTAAGGATAAATAATGAAATTTCATGCTGAAAATTATTGGCTTAAGGGTATTATCACATACCCTACTTGCTAAAAAATTAATGCAAAATGAAGTTCAATGGTCACACTGCAACATTTTACACAAACTTACCATAAACTACCATGTGAAACATCTTTGCATGCAACTAATACATTCATGTTCAAAAACAATATGTCCTCTTCCATCGTTAATGAAGTTTGTTATACCGTGTGATATTCATTATGTTCTGGTTGTGTTGCATATGAGCTGTGGATGATGCGTTGTGTTATAATATATACTCACTGCTTTTATAGGTTTTTATATTCTCAAACAGATTTGATAACTTTAAATCAGACCAATTTCTTATTTAAAACATTTTTGTAAAATTTTGTGTTAAAATAAAATATGGAATTTAAAAAAAAAATCACTGAAAATAAGGATATTGCCATTCTTGACAGCCAATTTTTATTTGTAAAGTCATTTTGCACTTTTTGGCCAATAATTCGTCTGGTTTTTAGTCATTGTTTGGAAAGTATGCGAAAACCCAAGAATAAACACCAATCACTGCTTTAGTATAGCAAGGAAATGGCTGAATGGTGTAGTAGTACACTGGAACATTGATACAGTAGTTATGGGTTGAGCCAGTATGTTTGTTTACAACTACCATTGTAGCGTAGCCTAGCAACCAAGGAGAAGGTGCAACAACCATAAATCTACTTTTAAAGAGAATTCTATATATAAATCATTCATTCCAGTTGTGTCCTGCTAGATGGGATTCTTAACATGGCTGAACAATGTTGGAACAGACTATGACATTAATGGAAAAATATACGGTCCTCAAATGAAATTAGAACGCCTGGTTCCTACCATAGTTAGATTAACTATAACAACTTATAACATCTGGGTATTCCTTAACTTCTTTTGAATAGTATATACTACTCAGTTTTGACAGGTATTGCTAAAAGCGGCGTAAAACCAAACTCAGTCAGTTAGTCAGTCAGTCAGTTTTGACAGGGGTGCCCAGGTGAGGACTGAATGTGTTTTATTCCTTTGGAGATGTTGTCAAACAAATAGTATTCAATATTTCTATGGTATAAACATGTTTTCAATTATATTTCAAGTCAAATATAAAGGTGCACATTTGTGAAAGTTTCATCTGAACAACCCCTTCAGAATATGGGCTGTATATTATTCTAAGTTTGTCAGTAATAAATAAATTTTAATAAAACTTTGTACATGGTTTTGTTAAAGAGACATCAATATGTATGACAAAGGTAGTTTTATTGCTAGTAGTATTAGTTCCACACTGTTGCCATGGATCCAACTTCTAGTAGGACATGATAAATATTTATTCTTTCTCATAACTGGTCATTATTCAATTTAATAAATTCAGAGTTTCATATGAAAAGGAAAGAAAGGTTGCTTGGAAACATTGGTAAAAGTGATGGCAAAGTTTATTGTTACTAATATTTTGATGTTGCCTTTTTTGTTTAGGTTTGGAGTGAAGTACTTCCAATTTATTGCATAATATGGATACGATTCTGAAAATGAATATCATGAAAACAATTATTCAGTTGTGTTGATGTATTGATGTAGACATTTGTTATGTCGGTTAGTTACTTAGTTATAATGAATGTGCCTTCATCAAACCACATTTTTATAGCTTGTGTTTTAATCAGCTTTTTTAAATACGCTTATCATCAGAAACCTTTGACAACATTTGGTAAGAATTGTCACGAAGTTTGAAAATTATCAACAGGTCTAAGTTGTTTATATTTGTTAGTAACCATGTGTAGTGTTTTATATGTCCAGATGTTTTATTTTTTCCCTGTAATGAGTAGTTAGGTTTCTGTAGATGTTAGAACTACGACAATAATCAGTTCAATGTGAATGGATTTTTACTTGGATTGAGGAAGATGTATGTGAAGGTTGAACGATTCCAAACCATAATACTTTTTAGAAACTGATTCTTAGGTATAAGAGAAGCAGAATATAGTATGATAAGATCTGAAAAGCATTTCTATTATTTCTGAGGCTCTGGAGACAAGATAGGGTTCCTATGTAAGGCACTTCATCTGCCTGGGTGAAACTTGATAAAGTTTTCTGAGGTCTATAACTGTCGTAATGCCTGGACTTTAACATGGACTTATGACAGTCATTCAGCTATGATTATTTTGCGAATCTGGGCCCAGTGGCAGTGTAATCCAAAATCAAGTTCAACGCTGTTGACCCCGCCCTGTCTGCAAATTGTGTGCTTTATCCTATATTACATTTGGAAACTTATGCGGCAACAGAGTTCCATCAACTGGTTTTGATACTGCAAGTGATCCCTATGAGATCTTATGATCATTCAATTGGTGATTCCATGAGCGGTGTAAGAATGAAACTACTTCTACCTCCAATATTGCCATATCTCATTTTGAAGTAATTACGTGAAAAAACTGCCTCCAACATTTGTCATAATGTTTCACAGATCAGGGACCTTCCTTCAACATGGCATTGGGAAACCTCAAAATGTCAGTTACTATTTAGAAAGGAGAATTTCTATACATTTATGATTTCTTTTACACTTCTTCATAAATTATAACTTCATTATTAGTCTGATGTCATGAAGCTTCAGATATAATCCAGGACATTTAATTATTTGTAAATCCTAAATTTATTGCCAGTCTGATCCTTGTTGTGTTATGTCTTATGTGAGATTGGTCCAGTTCAGCACTCTTACAGGGTGGTGGGGTAGCCTAATGGTTAAAGTGTTTGCTCATCACACTGAAGACCTTGTTTGATTTCCCACATGGGTGATGTATCTGGAATATTGCTAAGATTGGCATAAAACCATACTCACTCACTTACTCAGTACTATGCAGATTCACATGCCTGCATTGATGAACTTTTTTAATTGAAGTAATAAAACATTCATGCAGTGTGAAAAAGACAAACTTTGTTACAAATAATAATTGTGATCTGCCTTGAAGAAAAAAGGAGGTAAGGTGATATGGGATTTATCGTCCTGGGCGTGAATTGTATAAGCTCTCTTTGAGCTCAGATAGTTGTAAGTGCCATACATTAACATTAACTTACGACTATCTTAGTGTTAAAAGAGCTTCGAAAATCTAGGCCCTGTTCAAGATTGTTGCATTTATATACATTCATGCTGTCACTTGTGATTGTGACTGGCTGCTTGCACTAGACTGAACTATGATGAGTTTATTGTGCCCGCCACAGAGACACCTTGCCGATGTTTAACATGCATACCTCACCCATATATACAATATACAGAGTTAAGCACAGCAGTCATTGTTTATCTCCCTTGATGCCAGGCAGAGTAACAACAAGTACCATCTTTTAACATATTTTGGTTTGATGACAAGGGGATCAAACTACTGACCTTCCATTTTCACTGGACCATTGAGTTGATCTTGATACGTAAAGGGTCAAAATGGTCTTATGAATATATATGTATATGTAAATATGTATGTCTATATACACACTGGCATTAAATGTAGGATTTACAGCTGTATGAATGCACCTGTTTATAAATTGAATATTCATAATGCTGTATGTTTAAATGTACAGAAGGAATATATATCTAGAACAACATGGCATTAACTCGTGTAGTTCCTTAAAATTGACATCTGTGAGTAGGAAACTTGTCACTTTATGTACATTTTAGATTTTGTTTCTGTTTTAACGATCTCAGCCATTGTTTGCCACTTTTGAGGAGGACAGTTGGGATTTAATTGCTTTTGTGATGCATAATAATGTCAGGCTCATGTTATTTCTTGTATTGGTAATACGTTTGTTCTTATGATGAAACAAAAGATGACAAAAGAAATTTAAAATGTTGCCATGCTCGTTTTATAGTTAATTTTTATGTAATTCAGAAAAGTTTAAAAACAAGAAACAAACAGCTTTGGAAGAGTATATACTTTATATTCTTATTTATTACTTTCTATAGTAAATAAATTAAGAATAAGTTGTTTGGAACTGAAAGAAGGTTTTGAGAACCAAATGTTGGACTAATGTCAGTTTTCTTCATGAAAACAAATTAATCTTTCCTATTTGGTTTTTCATAATGGCAAAGTTTTCAAAAACACTTAATTCCCATTGTCAGCCTCTGAATATGTCTGTGTCATATTTATATTGTGTTCTGTTTTGGTCTGTCTCTCATAAATGACCACATCATAGCCAGAAACATGTGAATTGTACGCCAGTACCACTCCCCTCTGTCAGATCTGTTTTTCAGTGTTTCACAAGCATTTACAAAGTTCAGCAATATTAGAAATATTATAACTCTGATTCTGAATATTTACCTGCATCGTTACTTGTCTAACAGCCTTCAGTACAGTGTTGAAATATTGCAGTATTAGCGAAAAGTTTGTACAAATTGTTTCTTACTTTCTGTACTGTATATCATGGCTTTAAGTACTGATCTTGTTTGTGAGAATTACGCATTGACTTAGTCACATGTACAGTGCTCCTAAATGAGGTTTTATTAAAATACACAATGAATTCTTTGTTTCTGCTGTCATTGTGACATGAATGAGAGTATGAGCTGTGATCTGATTGGATGAAATGTAGCAGGGGGTGGAGTCATCCAACAGATGACATCCTTACTTTGTCAGCTTGCTGATGGGGGTTAACCTATTTGGTTATGTGGACAAAGTGTCCGACTTTGGATCAGAAGGTCCATGGTTTGAATACCAGCACAGAAGTGCTATGGCCACTACAAAAGCATGTTTTATTGGGATTCAAAGCCTGGGGTGAGGAGTTAGATTTATTGCCCCTTTCAGCAGTATTCCTGCAGTCTCAGCGTGTCTGCTAAATGTGGGAGGAAAGCCCGAAGTAATGCAGGTCTGACATTTGCTACTCCATGAAACCTATCAGCATGGGTATATGGTGCTGACAAACCAGGAAATATAATCAAGTCAAACAAGGATTCGAACCCACAATCAGGAATGAGTTTGTTTAGTTTTACGCCGCACTCAGCAATATTCCACCTATATGGCAGCGGTCTGCAAATAATCGAATCTGGACTAGACAATCCAGTGATCAACTGCATGAGCATCAATCTACACAATTGGGAACCGATAACATGTGTCAACCAAGTCAGCGAGCATGACCACCGGATCCGTTAGTCGCCTCTTACGACAAGCTTGGGTTACTGAAGATCAATTCTAACCCAATCTTCACAGGTCCACAATAACTTCTGGAACACAACTCTACATATTGACTTGGTGTGTCTTAGATGACTGGGCCATCCATGCCTGAACAAAGCATGGAAATCTGGACAAGAATACTTGTCTTGAGCTGCTGTTTTTTCTCAACTCTGACAACCATGACATTCAGCTTGCACATGTTGTAACTGGAGTCTTTAAACTCACTTATATTGCTCATCTCTGGCTCTGGGGACAAAACTGATAAATCCCACACCTAACTGTGTTCATATGAAAAATAAATATATGAATCCGCTTCTTGAATCCTAAGTGAAAGGTTTATTCAATAAAATGAAACCATTTTAAGGTATGTGCGGTTATTTTCTTCAGCTTGCATATTTTGCCCTATTACAATCACACAAATAGGTCTGAATACATCGTGTCAGTGTTTTTGTTTTACTGAGAAGGGGATTTGCAATCATGCGTACGCTTCTATGGGCGTTGGCCCACCTGAACCATCCATCAGATTCCACCATGGACCCCCGCATCTAAAGGTTTTTACTTTCTTGGGATTGGAAGCTCTGCAGCCTGGCGAACTGTATACAATATTTATTATATATATGAAGTTGATAAACATATATTTGACCAACCAGGGTTTTACACGATGCACAAATGTGGAGAATGGATGCAGAAACCCAAAAATACGCACAAAACACCATGCATCAAGAGTAGTTGTCTTTGTCTGTAATTTCACCCATCAATGATGAACACTGTCCACGTGATCTCTAATTCATTCCAGGCTCTGAAGTAATAATCTGAATGTACACTACACAGCACCATTTCAATGCTTCACAGGAGGGGCGGTGGGGTAGCCTAGTGGTTAAAGCGTTGGCTCGTCACGCCGAAGACCCGGGTTCGATTCCCCACATGAGTACAATGTGTGAAGCCCATTTCTGGTGTCCCCCATATACTAGGCGTCATTAATAAAGGGTAAAATGATATAAAGCACATGTAAAGAAATGTTTCTCAGAAATAATAGAACTAAGAGTGTCATCATAATGTTTAATGTGTTGACAAACGTGACACATCGTGACATACAGACAAATGGTTCAAACAGCACTAGCAAACATCAGTTGTATAGACCAACCCCCCAACATGAAAATGACAAACATGAAGCACTCGGTCATTCAATATCTTGTGTGCCCTCCTCGCGCGTCCAAGACAAGGGTGAACCTTGTTCTCGTGTTTCTTGTCAAGTTCATAAAGAAAGCTTGCAGAATCGCATTCCATTCCTATACTAGAGCACTGCGGAGTCCTTGGAGATCCATTGGTTCTGGGTGACGTGTGTACAAACGTCGACCGAGTTCATCCCAGGCATGCTCAATTGGGTTGAGGTCTGGTGAGCATGCTGGCCACTCCATCTGCTCTACACCCTGCTGCCTAAGGAATTCCGTGATAATCCTGGCCCTATGAGGCCTAGCTTTGTCGTCTTGCAATAAAGTGGGTCGAAGCCATGCATAGCCTGAAGGAATGGTACTGCTATAGGAGCCAGAATCTCGTCCCGATAACGCTGTCCGGTTGACCACGTGCAGTGGAGTACGTCCAGTAGGAGTTATCCCTGCCCAAACCATGACCGACCCACAGTGGCCACTGTTTCGCTCTCCATAGTCTGTCGTACAGACCCTGAAGCAAATATATCCAAAAAAGCCCACACAAGTCTAGAAAATGTGGCAAGTCTAGATTTCATCAGCTTCAGGCTGAAAATGAAGAAAGTCTCAGGGCTCCTTTCCATTATATTTTTTTTTTTACTATGAACTTTTTTCAGTAAAATATGTTCATTTCAGAGACTAGTTGTTAGTCTACGCTCTCCATTGCAATGATAAATCCTTAGCCGACCATCATGGAAGGACAAATTGAATCTGATTTCATCTGTGAAGAGCACACGTGTCTATTGACGTTGATTCCAGCGGCCATGATGTCTACTTCATCTCAAACGCGCCTGCCTGTGACATGGTGTTAGTGGTGGATGAACTGCAGGTCGCCAACAGCTGCCCTTAAACGTCGACTAACGGTGCTCCTGGATATCCTTACATTGTTAACATTGAAGTGTTCTGTCTGAAGATCTGCTACGTTAAGGAATCTATTACGTAACGCAGTGTTAATCATGTTCTTATCATCTCGGACTGTTGTGACTCTGGGGCGACCTGGTCGACGTGCCTATTCCACTGACCAATTGGCTTGAAATCTCTGCCAGTCTACCAATAGAACTTCTGACCTCTGACTTCTGACTCACATTAAAGCGGACAGCAACCTGCCGCTGAGTTTGACCAGATTCCAAAAGGCCTATAGCCTGACCTCTTTCAGCAAGTGTAAAGAAACGTCTCAATTTAAGCTACGATTTCAAACAGGTACCTGAACATTGCACGACAGCGAGAAAGCATCAATGCATGAGCATTGTCCTCCACTTTCCATCGATAGAGCGACTAGCACGTGCAAATCACTGACAGTAAGTGGCAGGTGGATTCCCATATTGACAATTTGAATAAGAAATGTGCCATTTGTAACAGAATGTATCGGACGTTAAAGAACGTAATAATGACATTTCAACTACCTGGCGTGTTGTTCCAGACTGTTAAGAAAGTTTGTAAAACATTCAGTTGTATATATTTCAAATAAAAACAAATATTTTACAACTTTTAATAGTTTTACCAATAGGTTGACCCTTCTTTAATGACGCCAAGTATATATTGATTCCCCACCCCACTCCACCCCGAAAGTCAAGGTAAAACCCTGCCAACTTAAGTTTCCCTATTCCACCAAACAGGCTATAATAACAGCAGCATGTACTGTCATTAATTGTATCATGGCATTATGCATTCCAGCATGTTATAGAATCTTGACATGGTGTCTCACAACTGTGACAGTTAACATAAGAATTTCTTCAGAAAATTACTAATTACATTTGTATTTTAAAATGTCAATGAACATGATGTATTTTCAAATTTGCTACTTTGAGTGAGTATTCAATGCCTTATATTTTCACATTTGAGACCGCCAGTGAAGGGAACTTGCACGTATGAGTTTTCATCAGGGGACCTTCAACCCCCTTCAACCCCACCAGTTTCAACCCAAGACCCTGCAGGGCTTCCAGCCTTGGAACCGAGCATCTCAAGCTTTTGTCTCTTTTGGGGTTGGACTCCCTGCAATAATGTTTTCAGTAAGAACAAGACATTTTCAGTCTCAAAAAGGGTCAGGTCGGAATTGTGTTACAAGCTGATTAAAAACTGAAATGCAAAGTTTAACCCATAAATCGTGATGTGTCTCCCTCTTCATGGAATATCATTCTACCCGAAGGCATGAACATGCGCATCCGAAATGGTATCATGTTATATTTATCACTTTTATTTACACCAATATGCAGCTATAAATGCTGAAATACATGAAATAATGATTAAACTACTTAAAGCAGCCGTAAACCAACTAACCAACGGTCCTACACCAAATCTAAACTTTAAACTGATTTGTCCACATACGCAGCTCAATGCCGAGATTTTACTTCCGCTTCAATTATTTCCGAAAACTTGCACTCTTGCTTGTGGTTGCGCGGAATTTGATCTCTTCCACTTTGATATGCTTTTCAAAACTACAGCTGATAATCGCCAGAGGATACAGGATTCACATGATACAATATTTACTTACATGGGTTTACACATGACTGAATATATATATTAAGGTTCCATGGTTTAGCAAATGGCCACGGAATACAGACATATTAACATAAGAATCCTGATTCATATACTGTGTGATAAGAGGTGGGTCCTCTCTTTCTCAATGTATCCATGTTGTACTATATAGTTGTTGTCTTTTTGTGCTTGCGGATAACTTTGGCCCTAGTATTTATAGGAATTTCCTGACTCCCAGATGTCACAGACGAACACACCAACTTCTAAATTCCATCCAAAGAAGATAAAAAAACTGTACTTCTACACATAAGCTTATCAACATATATTTTAATGAACAACGTTGATACAATATATATCCATTATATATGGAACATATGAAGATCGAAATATTGATGGACGAAACACTGCACATGATATGCATCAATTAACACATCGATTTATAGAAAAAAATCACGTCAGGTGTGATCATGAAAACAACAACACCTGTCACATATCCATATAATATATTTATAGACATGACTTATACCTATAAATAATATAATTAATCACGGACTCTTAATGATTGTATATATGATCAAAACATGAAACGTCGTAACATACTTTTGATGATCGAAATAAATAAAATAGTGCCAAAGTATCATTTGTCTTTAATAGCGCGCCAGTCGCTAAAGCTTTGATGGTCTAAAAATCTTAAGTTTGAACGTGTACGAAAATCCGCGGAAACCTACAGCAAGTCTATTATCGGAGTCGTCGCACTTCTGGAATTCCCCCTATGACGTCACATCATGGCGCCGACAGAGGTAAGTTGCTCGTGACGCGATTGCCTTTTATGATTAGGCTTTCTCTCCGAATATTGAAACTTGTAATACCTAAACTTATGCCTTGGGAATTACAGAAATACACCACTCTTTAAAACATTTCTAACAATGTGTTATTTATAGTTGATTTCTGTACACATTCGTGTAAATTGGAAACCACGACAAAGCCCCCAGTTTTCGCGCATTAGCTCTAACCTTGCGGGTTATGATAAACCTTCAAGCATAACTCTATCTGTCCCATGGTATTAACGGACTGCCACCAAGTCTTAGGGTATGGGATCCTCTTTATCGGTGCACCTTTTCGGATTTCAATAGTAAGATGGAAATCACGTTGCCAGCTCGAAGATAATTCGGGAGTACTGCACTCTACCGGGCGCACTTTTTCCCGATTAATTAGTGCTGCTGGGGTTCCCTAACCCTAACCCGAACGCCTAACCCTAAGGATCGTAAAGGGTGCCTAACCCTAAACCCTAACCCTAAGGATCGTAAAGGGAGCGGCGACGGCTGTGTCCGGTAAAGTGCATTCTAGCCGATAATTCATTTAGGCAGAGACCATATACCGACCATATTAGGTAAGCTAAAGTATATCCTAACACTGGCACAAATAATTAGCGCTCTTTTTACAAACTCAGCTGTGTGTTTAACTTTGTGCTGTGTGCGCTCATTTATTCTGCATACCCAAAACATGCTAGAAAACTATTCAGAGTTTTCTGAAGTCACTTTCTGAAACAATCAGTTAAAACGGATATCAATCCATACGATACTGCAGTACCTCACAACTTATACTAGAGATCATTAGTAGCCTTATCCATGAGATAGTACATGGGTGTTTGATCAGGAGGGGCGCCTAGCCCTTATGATTGTAAAGTGGTTATTTGATTAGAAACAGGATCCAAGGGGAAAGGACAGAGCTAGGGGTAAGCTTCAAACCCTAGCACAACTAACACTAAGGGTCCGAGAGGCACGTGATATCTGTGAAGTAGGGCTGGGACGTGTAACCCGGATACAGTCAGCTCTTTTGAATATAATACACGGTTAAGATATTGAAAAATAGGGGGTGGGGTACCTGGGTAGAATATTTGGACCCATCCCAGCCCTACTGTGAAGATAGTCAGTTGGCAGTCTGAACTAATTAAAGTACTGTCGGAAATAGAAAAAACCTGTATTTTCACATTTATCTCTACAATTTATGTAGTGTGAAATATCTGTTAAACTAAGTTAAGTTCAGCCTAACTACAGTCTCAGTGGTAGGGAGACAGGAAACGCAATGCCCAGTTATGCCGAAGTGGGTTATTTCGACATATGCTATTTGCAGTTGTGTAAAATTTAGGGATACAGACTAACAGCCTAAAAACAGTTTTTTCTCTGTTTCCGACAGAACTTTAGTGCTACAGTAATCTGTGCCCAGTAAACTGCATTGTTCTGGGGAGTCACAAAATGAAAACACATTTTTGGCTTTGGTTCACATTTGTTGCCATGTACTCCTTTTTTTCCAGGATCATAAAGCTAAAGTTGAACAGGCTTGCCAGGCTGCAGAAGAATTCTCCAAACTCTACTATGAACACTTTGACAAGAAAAGACATGTGAGTTTTATAGACCTACATACATTAATATTAGTACTAACATTTTGTACCGAGAGAGGCCGAAAGGTTTGAACATGTATTCTAATGTAAAATTGCCTCACAAATAAATATATTGGCCTTACAAATCAATATTGTGGTTTTAGCCCATCTAGGCAGTGCTATAGTGATGACTTAGCATGTTTTTCAAGTAAACTGCTGCTTTCTATCAAATGTTTGCTTGCTAACTTCCATATCATTACACCAGAAGTAGTTTCAATGTGAAGAAGAATGATCAGTCTGTAATATGACAACCAAAATGTCGAATAGAGTTGTGTGTAAAGAAACTGCAATTACTTGGGACTCTCTCAGCACAAAAATCACCCTAGAGACTAAGTGATCTAGTTTATGTTCACATATTTCCAAGTTCCAGTGAGTAGATATGTTGTAAAGTCACTTATGAATATGATGCACTGCTCCCCAACCCATGTTTTTTACAGTTTAATCATAGGAAACAAATGAATTAAGACCTTTTTTATTAACTAGTGTACAGATAGACTTTTCCTTCTACTGAGTAGAAATTGAACTGAATATGGACACATTTTTATAAACATTCTTCTAAAAATATGATCACTAAAGTGAAATGCAATGAAAAAAACCTGTTTGCTTTGAATGTTTCATTGCTAATTTCAAGAGTTACTTCCCTTTAATTTGTCCATCAACATAAGGTTCGAGACATGCAGGAAGCACTTGTGGTAGAAACTGTAGACTTCAGTATTCAGGATTAGGCCAGATGAAATATTTTCTTGTTTCCAGATATGCCTACATTATGTACATGCAAATCTGAAATAGAATCTGAATAAATTTTGTTTTGTGTTTTATTGCAAATTTCACCACATGGGTAAAATGTGTGATGCCCATTTATGGTGTCCCCAGCTGTGATATTGCTGGAATATTACTAAAAGCAGCGTAAAACCCAACTCATTCATTATTGCAAATTTCATGTTATGTTTTAAAATGCCTCTTAATGAAAAAATGTTAATTTCAAAATATATTTGAGTAACTTAAGCGTACATCAGCCAGTCCAACAATTTCTATTACTTAGATTTTGCCTCCTGCTTTTGACTAGATGTTGACGTTGTGTCCAAAAAGCAAGAAACTGAATTGGTCGGGCCTTAAATTGTAAAATGAATGTCTTGTTTGATGGTATTTAATTCTGTGAATCCAAGTTGGACATTGCCTTATCTGAGGTATTTTCCATCTTCCAACAGGGTTGAAACTACTTAGGAGAGATGGAAGACAGAATTGAGGCACTGACTCCATCTGGCGTCCCCATGGCAACTGTTGTCTTGGAAACACCAGTAGTTGTCGACCAATCAGAAATGGACAATTCTCTGAAATTCTATAGAGCACTGATTGAAAATGACATGAACATGGTAGAACATTTGGTGAAAAACAAAGAAGTGCACATTGATATGATTTTCATGGATGGTTTTACATACGTTCAGCCCACATTCCAAGGTTGGGGAGCATTGCATATAGTGACGAGGCGAGGACTGGGAGAATCTCTTAAATTCCTTGTCTCTTTAGGGGCCGATGTTTTCCTTAGTAACAAAGATGGTGACACAGCTCTTCACATCGCTAGCAGATACGGTCATGTGCAGTGTGTGGAGATTCTGCTGGAATGTGACATCAGACTGAAGGATTATGTGAATAATCAAGGTCTTACACCACTAATTAGAGCTGTTTTTAAATTTGAGCATGCATTCAAAGGTCAGTACAGGAAGACAGTGAAAGCCCTTCTTACAGCAGGATGTGACACAAATATCTGTTCATTGTCAAAAGTCACCCCTCTACATCTAGCTGCTGGACGTGGCGATGCCTACTTGTCAAAGATGTTGATAGATGGAGGAGCAGACGTCAGTGCCATCTGCAGCCAAGGATCTAGTCCTCTCCTTAAGGCCCTATATGCTCTACGTGTGAATTTAGAGTGTGTTAAAGTCCTCCTTGAAGCCAAAGCAGACGTCAACATTGCTACCATATCTGGCCGCACTGTTCTTCATTTAGCGATTTCAAAATGTGATGAAGAATGCGTTGAAGCGATTCTTAAAGCAGGAGCTGACTCAAATGCTCAGGATAATTATGGCAAGACTCCCTTGTGGATTGCAGTTCAGGAAAACAACATCAGGTTTGTCCCAATCGTTGCCAGATATGGAGGAAACATCAACTACAGACTTGCTCCTCAAAACCTGTCACTTCTGTCTCTTGCCATAACATGCCAGTCAACAAACATGGTGAAGCTTCTCCTTGACCTTGGGGCTTCGGTTGACACAGAAACCATCATGCAAGCGTCTCCTTTATCCCACAGCGTAGAAACACTCAACATTCCAATCATTAAGGCTTTGTTACGTCGTAACTGTCGTCTGAATGTGGTCGGCAATGCACGACATACTCTGATTCCTCAGTCACCGATTCAAATTGCATTTGAACTCGGTAACCTTGAAATCATCCGTCTGCTCATGAGAGCAGGGTGTAAGGTCAAGGCTGTCTGGCTCACATCACAGAAACTTCCACCAGTTATGATGAACAATCAGAGTTTGTTGCAGTGGGTAGAAAGCTACTTCTATTCCGTGCCTTCCTTGATGCACTTGTCAAGACTCTGTATACGAGAGATTCTCGGACCAGATATTCAGCCCAAACTTGAGCAGTTGTCACAGCAAGAACTTTTGCCAAGGCGAGTTTTAGACTATCTCTTACTAGAAGACATCTTGGAAGACGCTTTCTGATGAATGATAGAGGCTGTTAAGGAACATTATTGAGTCCAGTGACTGAAAACCCTGTTCTTTTTATCAGGCTGTTGCAGATATTCAGATTTCTATTTCAATGTTAATTTGTTTTTCCTCTATCCTTGTCAAATACATTATGTAAGAACAATAAACATTGATAAAAGGATGTTCATAATCACAGGCCAAAATGTAATTTATTGTATGTAGTTTGTTTAATTGTGACCTTTTCAGTGATTTCTTAACCAGTTACAAATGCCTGTATCATGTATATTAACAATACCATCTTTCAGAGGCTTAATTACTTTCCTTGCCAAAATGTATAAAATGAAAAAAAATGAATTCCTTCTTTTTATAATTCCTTACTTGTGGTCCCAGTGTTTTTGGTAATCCCAACGTCCATCAGTCACATGACTGTATTTTAACTTCACTCTTTTGTCTCTCCTTTGTAATATATTTAAATATTTTTACTATTTCTCTTTACTCTGAGATGTAAATGTTAAACCCAGTTACCTCCCCTTAACTTATGGTCATATTTGTTATTGTCAATCTCTTTAAAAAGAGGTAGATTACTCCAGCAAGTTCTGACAAACCTGCATACTGTCCAGTCTGGATTCGCTTCTTGAGTTAATTCGATATCCACTTTCATAACAATTCCTTTGCATGATACAAGAATTTCAGTCTGAACAAAAAACATACACAAAATAATTGTTTCCTTTTGGTATAGACTTTTGGATGAATACTTAGGACAGTTTTGTCAGATCTTGACCAAAGGGCATTGATCAAGAGTGAAAGATGTGATTGTAATGTGATTTTGATAACAATTTTGATTTTTCTTTGTACAACAGCATGACAATTTGTACACGAAGTATTGTTTTGACCGTGTCCTTTTCACATGTATTGAATAGGTTGATAGGCAGCGAGTTGCTTAGGGTGCCAGAATTTGGTATTCATAGTTACCTCCCTTTGGTGTGCCAGTAAGCTGTGATCATGGGTTTGAATCCTGGCACCCTGACAGTGTTCCTACATCAACACCACATCTGGACTAATGGGTTTCACTAAGGCAGTAAATGTCAGAAAGCTACAACAATACGTCTGTCCTCCCACATTAAGCTGACATACTTGATGCAGGATTTTACATGGACTTTGAAATATGGGAGTAATGGTAAATGTAAGTTGTTTTCTAAGTTTGTGAGTCATGAAAATATTTTGTCAATAAAATAATTTGATTATTTATTGTAAATATTGCAAGGGTTGACAAAGCATAGTCTGCCGTACAGACCCTGAAGTAAATATATCCAAGAAAGCCCACGCAAGTCTAGAAAATGTGGCAAGTCTAGATTTCCTCAGCTTCTGAAAATAAAGAAAGTCTCAGGGCTCCTTTTCATTATATATTTTTTTTTTTTACTATGAACTTTTTTTCAGTAAAATATGTTCATTTCAGAGACTAGTTGTTAGTCTAGACAAAGCATAGCATATTGTTTTGATAATTGCAGTTTACAGTCAGAAACCTGAAACTGCTTACTGTATATAGTGGAGTTATTTGGATTCAAGGTACATTTGTTTGTAAAAATACCGCATCAGCTGTGACTTGTCTGAAAATATTTGGGAGTATTTTACAAAATCATTGGTCAAATACACCAGAATTACACATCATTTCAAGCCCTGTTTTACCCATACTGAAATACTGCCCAAAGAAGCATTAGCCCAACACGTTCATTTGCTCACTGACATGTGTCCATGTCTTTGGCTTCAGTTTGTTTCCTACAAATGCAGTGCCTCAAAACGTCAGCTGTTGCCAAAACATGCAACTCACATTTTCATGTTCATTGGCCAAAACTGAACTTGGAAGTGAAGGAGTATTTGTCATGACCACGATGTTTCCAAGATATATATTTAGAAGGTCTTAGATTCAGATACCCCGAAGAGAAGAACTCAAGGACAGATTAAAATTTTCAACACTTAAATTTATAATTACTGTAATTGTATATATTTTCACGGGGTGCAATTTTGCGGAAAGTTCACAAAAGACCTGTTAGCGCAGTTGTTTTTTCGCGCATTTCAAACACCTGAGTGATGGTATCCATCACAACGTTTTCACCACCGATAGACATGCAATGATCAAAGCTAGCCGCCATAATTGAATTGTGGTTACTAAAACAATCAGAGAGAGGCGGGATTATACTGTACTTGTGTCAACATTGTGATTTGTGAAGAGAAGACCAAAGACGTCAAATTTGCTATTGAACATCGCTGGAAAAGATTATTTACCTGTTCAGTTCTAATTTGTTTTTGCTAGGCATTGTCTTATATGCAGGGATTAAGATTACCGTGTGTAATTGTCTCTTATACAGCGCCGGAAATAGCAATCAGCTGTGCAGTGCATCACGTTCTACCTGACCTGTGATTTAGTTTAAACGTACCCGATAATATTCCGAGATGAATTCTGATGCAGTGATCTTAAAAGTTAGTATCTGAAACTATTGTTTTATAAAGAGAAATATATTCTAGTTTTGTGTCATTGTTATTGCAGGTTGTGCTCTATAAATGTAAAATATTTATAATCGTAACTAAGTTTATGCGACAGCTTTTTGGTGTATAGCCGGATAGTTTTTATGCATGGAACAATTTAACCTGTCACTGATGAGGTTTCGAGCGATCTTGCTATTTCCAATGCTAACATCTGTGGACTTTGACATTGTTTGATCAACGTAATTTACACGGACTGGGAATAATTGCTTTGATGTTGTTATCTGAGAGAATAAGCAAATTACATGTTGTTCCTACTTGGGTATTTGTCATGACATATATATTTAGAAGGTCTTAGATTCAGATGCCAAGAGAAGAACTCAAGGACAGATTAAAATTTTCAACACTTAAATTTATAATTACTGTAATTGTATATATTTTCACGGGTGCAATTTTTTTTTATGAAAGTTCACAAAAGACCTGTTAGCGCCAGTTGTTTTTCTCGCATTTCAAACACCTGAGTGATGGTATCCATCACAACGTTTTCAACCACCGATAGACATGCAATGATCAAAACTAGCGCCATAATTGAATCGCAAGTGGTTACTAAAACAATCAGAGAGAGGCGGGATTATACTGTACTTGTGTCAACATTGTGATTTGTGAAGAGAAGACCAAAGACGTCAAATTTGCTATTGAACATCGCTGGAAAAGATTATTTACCTGTTCAGTTCTAATTTGTTTTTGCTAGGCATTGTCTTATATGCAGGGATTAAGATTACCGTGTGTAATTGTCTCTTATACAGCGCCGGAAATAGCAATCAGCTGTGCAGTGCATCACGTTCCCCTACCTGTGATTTAGTTTAAACGTACCCGATAATATTCCGAGATGAATTCTGATGCAGTGATCTTAAAAGGTTAGTATCTGAAACTATTGTTTTATAAAGAGAAATATATTCTAGTTTTGTGTCATTGTTATTGCAGGTTGTGCTCTATAAATGTAAAATATTTATAATCGTAACTAAGTTTATGCGACAGCTTTTTGGTGTATAGCCGGATAGTTTTTATGCATGGAACAATTTAACCTGTCACTGATGAGGTTTCGCGCGATCTCGCTATTTCCAATGCGAACATCTGTGGACTTCTTGACATTGTTTGATCATGTAATTTACACGGACCGGGAATAATTGCTTTGATGTTGTTATCTGAGAGAATAAACAAATTACATGTTGTTCCTACTTGGGTATTTGTCATGACTTCACCATGAATATTTCGCTTGGTATAATTATTGGCACACAATCTTTTTACGCTAAAAGCGCGAAAATTAATCCAACGCGAAAATAACTACGATTACAGTATATTATTACATTTTGGCAAAAGTGGTCTAATGTTATCTTGTATATGAGATAAATTAACTATCTTTCATCAATATTTATACATTAAACAGTAGAATAAAAGGATAATTAAAAAGAATTTTCCCCAAACACGAATTTATGTTAGTGGTGATGTATATGTAAAATGAATGACCAATATATCCCATTTCGTTCCTAATGATTAAACTTGCCTGACACTGACTTTTAAACTTTTTGACACTGATTTTAAGGGTCAAGTTATGGGGTCAGCTTATCTATGAGATCGGCTTATCTACGGTAATACACGGTATTTGAAAAGGAGCTATGTGATGTTAACTTCCTTTGCCACTGGTGCTGAGAGCTGTGGAGTCTTATATGTATAAAGAGGTGAAATGGGTAAATGTCATGTTCACGATTATTTCAGTATGTGGTGATACGTTCCATGTGTGGCTGCTTGTGATACTCTGGATTAATGCTGGTTTTATAGTGCCATTGAGACACCATGCCACAGTTTCACATGCATATTCCACTCAGACACAGTATACTAACTCCCTACCATCCCTTCCTGCATGCGTAGTGGGGTAGCCTAGTGGTTAAAGTGTTTGCTTGTCACGACAAAGGCCCTGGTTCGATTCCCAACATAATTACAATACATGAAGCCCATTTCTGGTGTCCCACAATGTGATATTGCTGGAATATAGAACAGCATAAAACCCAACTCACTCACTCACCCTTCCTGCAAGTCTCTGATGTAGTCATAGTGATAGTTGCATCATTAATCACTGTTTTAGTGCATTACAGGTACACATGTATTTTGGTGACGGTGCTCAATACCCAGATATTGTATCTTAAGATATATCGTTTAATGTTTGGCTTTGTAGGAATGTTTTAGGACATGTTACACATGGTAAGGATGTGAAAGAGTTTATGGCCCAGTAACAGTTTCTAAGTTTTTTAGATGCCATTTTAGTCATTTACTAGATAATGGCCTCTTTCCCCTTCAAGGCTTGAAGCAATGCTCTTGTAAGTAGATGTAATTCTGTTACCAAAGACAATGAAGAAGACCATGCATTTGAAATATGGCAATGTTCAGTTTCTCTGCAGCCTCTTTTTCGTCACATTTCTGAAGCAACAATGGCTTCATATAAATCCTTTTTAGCTGCCAAGGTTGTTGAAACTTGTTTGTTGGACAGTGGCCTCAATAGTGACTGTCTCACTTCCATTATCATTTGATTTTTCGAAGTTGATGTCATATTTTCATTGTTTATGAAACGCATCATTATTCACTTACAAGATGAATATTAAGCCGTGTGAAGTTCTATTTTTCAAATCATAATACTGTGTGTGCGGCTGTATCAGTTTCAAACAAACATGGTGAATACATGGCAAAAGCCTGGCCTGTACTTGAGTTATGTACATACAAATCTCTGGTTATATACTACTCAAAAGCATTTAAGGACCAGTCACTTTTGTCATGCAGATTAACCATGCAGTAACTGCAGTATAATCTTGGCTGCTCATATTAGTCTGGACTTCATAGTGCATCTCTCTGAGATACCTTGCTGCAGTTTAACATGCTTACTGTATTCAGACCCATTTGACTCAGACCCAACCAGTCCTATTTGAATCCCATTAATACTGGGTGGTGGGGTAGGCTAGTGGTAAAAGCATCTGCTCCAAACACCAGGGTTTGATTCTCTATTTTGATTGAATGTGTGAAGCCCATTTCTGGTGTCCCCACCATGTTGTGGAATATTGCGAAAAACGACGTAAAAACTAAATCTCACTCATTTGCATTAATACCAAGCCCCAGACAAAGCCAGGAGATCAAACTGCTGCGTTCTACTCTCTGGGGTGATGCATATTGTGCTGAAAGTCTGCTGTCTTGAGTAAGAACCAATCTTAGGGTATCTCAACCACGCTATGCCAGTGAACACCTGCTTGCAGAACAATTCAGTTATTGTGTTATAATTATGCTGTTACATAGCTGATTTATATTTTTATAATTTTCATTAATGAGACTCTAGATGGAACACTTGCAATGGCTTACCAGTAATTTTGCTTCTGTCTGTCAAGCGCATAATGAATCAGAGGCTGAGCATGACTACTTAACAGTCAGACAAGAGCAAGAGGGGTAGTGATTTTATAATTGAAACACTTATTGGTTAATAAAGTGCATTTATCATACCTTTTTAATCACTTTAACTTTGGTTTGGATCACAAGATTATGAAAGGAAATAATCTTGGCCTTGTTTGGGTATTAAATATTATATATTGAGCTTATTGTAATTGTGGTAATGTTGATTTATCGTGGGAAACAATATCTGTTTTAGTTGTTTAAACATCCCCTGGACTATTTGATCTTTACTGTTGATGGAAGTGATGAAATTTTGTTTTTCAAATTTTTTCAAATTTCTTTTAATATATGATATTTAAGGTCAGTGGATCCATATTCTAAACAAAAATAAAATGTAGATTTTAGTCAGCCTTTGTCCATTTGTTTTCTAGTTAAAATCAAATCAAATC